TAGACCATGATGCACCTGCAGCGGCGCCCCCGGGGCTCGGATCGGATTTGCTGCCACCGGGCGGTTCTTAGGGTCACCCAAGGAGGCTGCATACCAAATTTGGTCAAGATCGGACCACGGGAAGTCCTCGGACGAACGAACGGACGAACGAACGAACGAACGAACGAACGGACGCACAGCACGCATCATACTATATGCCCGTCCCTCCGTCATTTTTTTACAAAAAATAAACGGGACGGGCCAAAAATAAACGGGACGGGCCAAAAAATTGTACCTGTACCTTGTTGCATGCTGGGCCCCCCAGACCCCCCTTCATTCTGGATGGACTTGTTTTATCTACAAGTAACACGATCTTGACCCTTGTAACTGTTAAACTTGTCGAGGCTGGGAGGCTCCGCCCCCCAGATCTCCCCTCAGACAGAGGTGATCTGCCTGCAGAAAACTCTATTTTTCGCCGTTTTTAGGTGTTTTTCGGCTTTATAAACTGAACCAGTTGAGATAGGGTAGTGAAATTTCGCGTGGGCCGAGCCAAGGACATACCCAAAAAGTGTGCAAAATCTCATTGAGATCGGCTGAGCCGTTCAGGAGGAGTAGTGCAGACACACAGACAGACAGGAAAAACTTTTCAACCCCACTGGAGTAACATCCTTCGCTATCGCTCAGCCAATTAATATTTTGTTCAATGAACTGCTAATCAGTGTTAAAAAGTGTGCTAATTAATAAAGCAGCACATCAAGAATAAGCGTTAAACAAACCTTTCCGATAAAAGGCCAGTATTACACAGTAAATTGAAATGGCAGAATCTGTAGTGGTCTGAGAGCCCCAAATCGCAGAATCCGACAGGTAAATAGATCCGGGGCGGTTTCGCACCAAAACCGCCAACGGCAAACCAATTCTGCACACAGGCGACGGAATCCGTACAACACTGCACCGTAATCGTCAATTGCGATTCCCTCCACCTCGCGACTTTGAGATGTTATATTATTGGAAATAAAGAGTGTAGATGTACCGCGTAAGGAAAATAATAATTTATAGACTTGTCAAAGCAAGAAAAAGTATGCACACTCATCAAAATATGTAAATAATGTCCAAAACAACAAAAGCATCCACAGACACAGTGAGGATAGGTTGGCCAGCGAGACCGCAACCCCTTAGCAGTTTCTGTGAGCCCATCCCAGTTCCTGTGGAGCCTTTGTCAGTTTATGCTAGCCCATGCCAGATTCTGTGACTACCAAATTTAGAATCATTTACTGGCGGTTTCTGTGCCGAACCGTTGCGGATTCTGCCATTTCAATTTACTGTGTATGATCCAAATTTGGGTGAGAAAACCAAACCTTCCTCACCCAACCTTTGGCGAGGAAACCTTCCACATCCAAATTTGGGTAATGATGAATTCCTAACCCAAAATTTTAGTATTGATCATGACTCATTCCCAGTGTACACATGAACTACATCTACAAACTGGTATTACGTTCACGTGTATACACGTGTACATACATCACGCGAAACAATTAAGGTATTTTTAGAGGGCATTACGGGAGTGTTACCTTCTCGACCTATTCTGATAGTAAAGACCAACTCCTTTTTTTCCATGCTGTGGTGTGAATCAATATTTCAGACTAGACTGGTTTTAGACTGCTTGTCTGAAAAATTTGCCTGGTAAGATCTCATCTGTCCACCAGATGGCGCACATGTTGTGAAACAGACGTATGTCTGGCTTCTGCTGCGAAAGTGTACTGATTGAACAGTTCAAAATTGACAATACTCAAGCTGTCATATGAGAAACATCCGATTGCAACATTTATCTTTGTAATATGAGAAGGAGTTGAATAATTCACATTTTCATTTAACTCTCGCGTGTCACGGGGGTGTGTTCTGACCACCATCTCCATTATGTACACGGCAAAAGTACCGCCTGGGATTCCCAGGCGCATCATGGGGAAAAGGGCCTATTTTCCAGGCACCGCCTGGGAATCCCAGGCGGTACTTTTGCCGTGTAAGACTTTCCTATTCTTAATTTTCAGTCTACAAGTTATTCAGAACTTCTGACAAATTTCGTCTGAATTTTCAGACCTTTTTGAACAGTGAAGCTGCTTACGTTTTGACCAGTTTTGGACCAGTTTATCCCATTTTGCTGCGATAAAGCGATACAATGTTCATTGCACTTGTAATGCAATATCTGTTTCATGGTGCAAAGAGTGCAATGAAAATTGTGTTGCCTCAGAAATTAGTTCAGTATCGCACAAGGAAGAACAGTGTAGTCACGCGAGCACATGCGGAGACCAACACTGCTTTCAAAAACTTGAAGAGCGAAGAAGCACTCTGACCAAATATCCATTCAGGATTGAAAGCTGGGATAAGAAAAAACTATACTGCAAAGAAAGCTGGGTGGGAAAATGCGAGTATATTTTTAGAACTCATACCACAGAACATTGTCTCTCTACTTAGGCCATTTTTCTCTCGATTGACAAACACAGTCAGAAATTAAATAAGAATTTTACAAAGACATCCTGGATATTGTTTCTTTGGACCCGGGTTTCTTTGTAGATTCACTGAGTGAATTTTGTCAATTTACGATACTGCCTTCGGTCACATTTTATTCCAGAGGTTCGTAAATTCCGAAGATGTAATTTGGCAGTGCCGTCTCAGTTTGAGATGAGTTCCACTCCGAGTGTCCTTCCGTGACTCTCCTACGCGGCCAACGCGGCCAGTTGCATGATGATGTGGCGTGCTTCCGCGGGGATGACCTTGATGTCCACCGTCAGAGAGGAAGAGGCCTTGGCGACGCCGGCGAGGTACTGGTCGAGCACCGCCTTGGCGGTCACCTCAGCCCAGCTGTTGATGACGTTCTTCTGAGCCTGCGGAAAAAGCGGGTTGTTAGCTCTTGTGTGCAGCTTCTTAGCTGCACTCTTCACAGCTTGCACACTGTCAGAAATTTTCGAGAACACTGAGATTCAAAACGCTATGAGTATGGCACGTATGGTGCGATGCGATAGCCATATTGCACCTTACGTGCGATGCACCCCGAAAATGCCCTATGCTAATACATGGGAATGGGGAGACATTGCACTTCATGTGCGATGCTTTTGCATCGCACCAATTGACGCTATACTCATAGCGTTTCGATTCTCAGTAAAAAAAATGGAAAAATCATGGAGTTTTTCCAAAACTTCTGCATGGAGCTCTCCAATTTTGTAGAAAAATGCATGCTTTACTATCAGGAAACCACGAAAAAAAAGGTTTGCAACCAATTAAAATATGAGATAAATGTGAACCTCTATTTGTTAAGCTCAGTTTTCATAATACTAAGGGAAACGTTCACGATATAACTGAAAGGAGCTCGAAGGAGATTGTCCCTTCTTTGGCCATTTCAGACTGAAGACTGCTTCGGCCCTTCTTTGGCCATTTCAGACTGAAGACTGCTTCGGCGAAGTCCTCTTTAATATATTTGAGAAAAGACGTGCATTTTCCCTCCCATCAGGACCCAAGTAATGCTACGAAGAACATTTGTTCAAGCCTAGAGAAAATCTCTCCGAAATAACAGGAAAAGTAGCGATATACATCGGCAACTTTGGCCCGTCCCGTACATTGAGAAATGTACGAATTTCGCCTATGTTTAACCCTGATGTGATTTGAATCAAGTCTGGGGTCAATTAGATGTTATTTTCATCATTAGCACCCTCAAAAACATCAGTAACAATGCAAAAACCCGAATAAAAAGAATGTTCAAAATATACCCCACTGGGATTTGAACCCGGGTCCGAACTTCTCCGATTCGCTTGAAACTGGCACCGTTGGTTTTGTCTTGTCGCCCTGATTCCAAAAATACCCCTACATGCCCTTCTAGCTGTATCCGTTGCCGAAATCCTCGACCCCATGTAGACCACGATGCACCTGCAGCAGCGCCCCCGGGGCTCGGATCGGATTTGCTGCCACCGGGCGGTTCCTAGGATCACCTAAGGAGGCTGCATACCAAATTTGGTCAAGATCGGACCACGGGAAGTCCTCGGACGAACGGACGGACGCACAGCAGGGATCATACTATATGCCCGTCCCTCCGTCATTTTTTTACAAAAAATAAACGGGACGGGCCAAAAAAGATGGAGAATGAATGGAGTCCCCATGAACGTGATTATAGAGTTTTTCTCCGTTAAATTTCGGAGCTAATTTCTAACAGTGCAAAGATGACTACTTCGTAGAACGAAGTATTCAGTCACCGGTTTTGTATCACGAACACCCTTCACTAGGAGAAACTAAATGAAGGTTGTGGCAGCTAATTGTGATGCCACTCTCCACTGTACATCGAAAGAAGGTGTTTACCGTACCCAGAGATATAGCAGGCACCGTACCTGAAGGAACGGAATTCACTGTACCCTGCCTGCATTTAGTGTACCTTGGGAACTGTGCTGACACTGCATACAGTAATGTAAATTCACGGGGCATACAGGACATAAGCCCCGTCCCGTTTGAGCCCCGATGGTCGGAGCCCCGACCTGAGCCCCAACCTGAGCCCGGGTTGAGCCCCGACTTGAGCCCCGACCCAAGCCCCAATTTCCAGAGCCCGGATTGAGCCCCGACCTGAGCCCCGTTTGAGCCCCACTTGAGCCCCATTTGAGCCCCGCGACCTGAAATCACGCATTTTTGCATAATTTATTGCTATGGGGCTCAAGTGCGGCTCAAGTGGGGCTCAAATGGGGCTCAAACGGGGCTCAATCCGGGCTCTGGAAATTGGGACTTGGGTCGGGGCTCAAGTCGGGGCTCAACCCGGGCTCAGGTTGGGGCTCATGTCGGGGCTCAGACCATCGGGGCTCAAACGGGACGGGGCTCACTTCCTGTATGCGCGTCACGGCAAAAATCGAATGAATTCATCCACCTCAAAAATGATATGCATGTAATGGGTTTAGACTCGAAATTCGAGTATTGGGCGTCAGAAGCCTGAAAAAGTAGGATTTTGGATCATAGTTATTTGAGTCCGATATTATGGACTCCAAAATCGTATTATTTTATGCTTCCATGGGGACCGTCCCTTTTCCACGGGGCTGAGAAATATCCCTTTAGTTCGGGACGTAAGGGAATTTTACCTTGGCAAGTTATAAAGGAAACTGTTCACAACATTGCAAAGCAATGCTTTTTGGCCCACCTAGTAGACCAAGCCTTATAGTCCAAGCTCTATACTCCAGAAAATGTCAAACTTCGTTTTCGTTTGTTTGGCCATTTGACCCACACTCTGGGTGATCCTTTGACAATTCCGACGGAAGATTGGGATTCCTCGTTCTTTTTAGAGTGGAAGTTTCAGGTTTGGACGGAGTCTAGTGGTCAGAAAGGACTTTGTAGCCGGTTTCGTAAAAGCCTACACAATTTAAAAAAAAAAAAATGGTCACAATTTGAAAAAAAAATCATTTTTAGCCAAACCAAGCATTGTAGAGGTCTCAATTTTTGGTGGACGGCTTATCATTAGGCAGGTGACATTTGACAAAAGTATGGAGCAAATCGAAAGGGGCCGATGTAACGGGGTCTGCACCACGTGTGGACAGTGTGGACGCACTAACGCCGTGCGGAGTAGCTAACAGAATCCCTCATCTCTCCGCTTAGTGCAAACGTGGAGAACTCCACTTTTCAAGAGCGAAGACTGCAAACTCTGCACTTCCCAATGAGGGGACTTTAAATTGCGCTCCTCTCCATTTCAAGTTTCGAGTTCTCCGATTACCTCTTGCCGATGAACGTGACGTAATGTTCGTTACAACGTGAATCTTACGTTCTCACATTCGTTTGGATGTTTGATCCTTGTAAAATGAACGTGACAGCCTCATTAGACGGTCATGTCACGTTGGAACAAATGTGACACCGTATTGAAACGAAAGTGCCAAAGTTCACATTTCAACGAATATGACGTCACATTAGTTAAATAACAGTGTGGTGTTCAATGTCTTACAGCAACGATTGTGGGCAGCACGTCGTTGATGGCGGCGTTGAGGACCGAGCCGACATGGCTGTCGTGGAGGTTGGCGAATTCAACCTGGGAAGGAAAGTGACCAAATAATAATAATAACTGAAAAAAGTAATTCTTTAAAAGGCATTGTCAAAAACGAAGAACAAGCAAAATAAATATTGTTGCTTTAATTAGGCAACTCTTCACATAGTGACAAATGCACAATGCACACCTGGCACCGTAAGTCCAAGCTGCGCTTATGCACTTGTAGTTATGTACCTGGCCAACTGTACGTTTGAAAGTCTGTAGGAGTAGGTTAGGTAAGAAAAGTACACTCGAAGCTCGGGTAAGAAAAGAACACCCGTTATATCTCCGAACTGAAACTACACTGAACCGTCACGTTTGTTGAAAGATTGGTCATCCCGCTGACCAAAAATAAATTTAGCCCAGTTCTACATAAAATATTTAGAATCAAACTGCACGTTTGAAAAACGCATTAAAAATAGCTATGAAAAATCTTTTTTTTAATGTTTGTACTTTGAAGTACAGCTTCCAGCAGAATCAGCCGGCAGTCCAATGTAAGGTACCACCTTATAGCTTAGATCATCATCTTTGGAAAACAGTGCCGTTCGATGCTCTTAGGCTTCAACACAATTTTTTATAAGTGTAAAAATGAAATGGGGAAGAAAAGTACAGTCGGCTGGGGAAGAAAAGTACAGGTATTGGGGAAGAAAATAACGCCCTCTAAGAAACTAAAAGCGGTACGGGATGAAAATTGAATAGATCACGGACATACATTTGATTAGGCGAGACAAGCAAAAAATGTCAACACAAGTTATAGAATTAGACTCGAAATGAACAAGTTATTCGGCATTTACGTGAAAAGGGGAAGAAAAGTACAAAAATGCTGTACCCACTTATCTCTGAGAAAAGGCTTCTTGGACCTTCTGTGATGAGTCCATGTAGAATCAGAACCAATTGACCGATTTTGACGAAACTTGAACTAATGGCAAGTGAAAGCTCTCCATTTTAGGGGTAAACCTGTATTGAGCCAAGATTGGTGGTCTTCTGGTTCAAACTCGCAATTCTTTTCGTTGTACTTTTCTTTCCCCGTGGTGTACTTTTCTTACCCTTTTCGAGGAGTTCCGAAATCACATACATTTTGGCATGTTGTACGTAATGTGGGGAACTATAAGCAACGAACAGTGATCCATTTCATTAGGAAGGCATTGGATTACATGTTCACGAGAGCAGAATAGTTGAATCCTCATTTGGAACTTCTGTACAGTGCAAAGTACGCGTTTCGTACTTTTCTTCCCCAACCTACCCCTACTAGGTCTACAGAAGGGATGTACTGTGATTCAATGCTAAATCGTACTTGAATTGTGGTAAGCTGAGATGTTTCTCAACTAGGAGAGAAGATGTGTCTTACCGCAATTTGGTCGAAAGTCCACGAGTCAATGTTGAGGTCCTTGAGAAGCAAAGCACCCTCCGCGTTCTCAGCCAGGCGAGCGGTGGCCGAAACCTTGAGGCCCCTGATCAGTGCACTGCAGAAATTCATGGCACGTCTAAGTCGTTTCTCAAAGATGAGAGTTACCGATACCGTGACAAAACCTCCGCGTTTTAGGTGAGAGAACGTACGTCAAGGATCCATTGTCGGTGACAGTCTTCGTGGGCCACTTCAAGCCGGCCTTGGCCGTGAAGTCGCTGTTGCCATTGATCTCGGGAACTTCAAGATCGACCTGGATTTTGTTCGAATCTGGGATCTGAGAGATTTTGGTGATAGTGAAGGCAGAGGTCCCTCCAACCTGCAAGTTCTTGGCAACGACAGAAGCCCTGGAGAAGAAAAAAAAATCAATGGATTCACTTCGCAGTAAGTTCACTATGGTTGCTTCCGCATCGGCCTCTGTGACTTTCAGCTGTGTAAACGCCATTCTCAAGGCCGTTGGCTCGTTTAGAACATACTTGACAAAGTAGCCCTCGAAGGAGAAGGGAAGCTCGTTGAGGATGAACGGGTCGAGCACGGGCAGGTCATAGTCGGTGCTTCCGGTCTTCATGACGGTCTGCAGGTTCAGCAACAGCTCGGTCGCCCTGGCGTCCAGGCCGGCGAGGGGGATGCGGCCTGCCACGCCGTCGAGGAAGCGGCCGATGATGGAGAAGCCGCGGCTGCTGGCCCACGCGGTGAGGTCCTTGGTGTGGGGCTGCAGCAGAGGCCAGATCACTCTCAGTAGACCGAATGCCACGGACAAAGTAAGTAGGTTTCGAGCCGCTAGAAGCAACATTAATATTTTTCCCACCCAAATTTTATGTCTAATTGCCTATACCCAGCCCATGCCTACTTGCAAACGTGGGGCAAACGTGGCGAACACGTGCCTCCACTCGGAAACTGAAGTGAGTACTGAGTACAAAAAGTAGAGCACTTGTGTTTTCAGTGCACTTGTACGAACGTGAGACACTTTGCGTCACTCCTACACGTGTGAAACTGTCCCACAATTTGAAGGACTATGAATCTGCAGTAAGTTGACGGAAGAAAACGAATTGGCCAGATAAATGCCTTTATAATTCAATTTTCACCATGTGCATATTTACCTTAACCAACAGGCTTGGCACCAGTTTGCCGATCAGCTTGTTTACGTTTTTCTTGATGAAACCAGCGTTTTCAGGGTTCTCCAACTCGACCTGCACACGTAAAACACAAAGACATAAGTGTGGATGCCTCTTTCTGTCAATACGGGGAGAGGAAATGCCTGTAACACTGAATGCAAGTTACGCGTCGTCAAAGTTTGACCCCTCTTTGCGAGAAGCCTCGTTAAATATTTTAAAGGCAGTGGTGAATCAAGGACAGAACCTGCTTTGACAGAGTGGTCTTCATGGGCGGAAGTGTCGCTTTACACTGTGCGCCAGAAGACCGCCGTTTGCGCCCAAAGCTCGAGACTCGTTCTGAGCTCCAGAGTCGCTAAGCCAGGACTCAAACCAAGCGTTTGACCCCTCCAATGGATTCCTCGTTCAGAGAGCAATCGTTCTGTTGGGGTGAAACGTTTGGTTCGAGTCCCGTTTATTGACTCTGCAGCTCGAAACGCGTCCGGGATTCGGACCGCCTCCACTGCTCTTCTGGCCCACTGGGCCCCTGGTTGGTAGGCAGCCCAACGGGCTGCGCAGCAGACTTGGCTGCACTCCACCGCGGCGGACAGGGCTACAGCCTTCCGAGCGCTTTCCACGAACAACTTTGTTTTTACTTTCGGAACTTTTTTGAAGGACGTACCTGCCATCCTTTTTTTTTTGTAACCACTCTGATATTACCGTGAGGGTATCGTAGCTCCACTTAGTGATCTCGAAAGCGTCCAGGCGGAGTTGGCCGTCCTTGTCAACGACGAGTTCCGCAGTAGCGGCGCCCTTGATGCCACCAGCAACAATACTGAAAACAGAGCAGCGGTTTCATCATCCGGATACGTTTTACAGTGGACCAGCCACAAGACCGGTGGAGGCGGTCAAAATTCCGGACTCGTTTTAAGCTTGAGAGTCACTAAATGGCACTCCAACCGAACATGTGGCCCAACCAATGGGTTGCTCTCCGAACGAGGAATCCATTAGTAGGGTTACAAAGGTGTAACGATACGCCTTAGGTTTACCAGAACGTGCAAAATTCACATTCTAATCGATTATGACGCCACGTTGAATCGTATGGTGAGCTGACGTGGCGTTGCTACATACCCGACGGAGCCGCTCCTCACGGAGTGCAGCTTGGTGAGGCCCAGGTTGACCTTGGCATCGAGATCGTACTGGGTGGCCGCGGTGATGCTTGGGACGCTGAATTCGATGGCCACGTTCGTGTCGTCCAACGCAGTCACCTTGGTCAGCTCGAAGTCCGATGCACCAGACACCTGCAGGTCGGTGGCGACAGCTTGTCCACTGCCAGGACGCAACAATGATAAGGACTAGTGGCATAATTTCTTTTTACGAAACGAACGCTTTGAGTCCGGGGGAAAATTTGCTTGCCACAAAATTGGCAAGCCGTTTTCCAGGCCAAAAATTGGCAATCTTTGACCTCAGATCTTCAAAATCTTGCCAGTACGGTACTTAGCGCTTAGGTCGCCTGCGATATCAAAGTTTGGAACTCTGGGAAGTATCTGAGAGCCAAGCTTACATTCTTTGGCATTCAAAACGTTTTGCAAAGATTGCGACCAGGAAACTTGCCACATGCATTGCAGTGTAGCTGCCCGACTTACTCAAGAAGCCACTTGTGGAAGTGGATGTTGAGCTCCGAGAAGACGGCGGGGTCCATGGCGGCAATGTTGAGGTCGGGACGGCCCTTCTTCATGGCAATGCGGAAGACTTCGCTCAGTTCTTTGACGGCAGTCTCGAGGTCGGAGGGCTCACTGTCAGACAATTGCCACTCAATTACACCTAAATTCAAGCCGTGATGAATTTACTCTAAGCCCTACTGTGTGTCCTGCTTTGGGGGAAGGTGAAAAGTAAAAGCCCAATTCTACGTCCATTTCGTTTTGGTTTAGAACCGTCAACGGGGGTAACTTGGGACACTTTTTCACGTTTTTAGAAAGCCAGAGGCAAGATTCTCAACCCAGACCATTGGATCCTAACCATGTTAAAGTTTGACCATTTCCCCATGATTTCATACTTGTCTGGTTCATTTGCCTCGATAATATCGTATCCAAGCGGTCTCGAAAGAGTGTCCCAAGTTACCCCATGACCGGGGGTAACTTGGGACAGTAAGTGATTGGCTACATTCCCATGCATCTATTGATGTTAATGGATGTAACATGTAGACCAAGAATTCAGGCCTAGGAACTCTCGGAGGACCGATATTGGACTATATCTTGGGCTCTTCGTGGAACTCTCTTTTCTACTTGTATTTTCCAGGCATTTTCTGAAAATTTCATAATATGGATTACCAGAAGAAAAAACTGCAGAGCAAGGCATCTCTTTCCAACATCAGCGTAAAATCCGAAGTCTAAGTTATGTCAGGGACCGGGTCAGTCAATTTCTAGGAGGCTAGGACTCCTGGAAACATTAGGAAAAGACTGTCCCAAGTAACCCCGTAAAATTTCGATTTTTGATAAATTGAAGTCTGGACCGCAGATGGGAAAACTATTATTAACCTTTTGCGAACGTTATTGTATGTGTATGATCTAACAACCCAGAGAGACTAATCGGCCAAATCTGCCTTTCACTCCTTGCACTGGGGTCAACTTGTCAATGTTTGACATGTTTTGTCAAAAACCCTATTATGTAGTTTCCCATTTCTCAAATACTAATTGTGATGTAATGCACCTCCTCCACCTTTCCGCGCGTGCCCTGAGCCCTCTGAAACAAAACCCTGCCGCGGGTTTGACGCTAGGAACCCCCGTCGCTGAATGGCAGCACCAACAAGCTGTACAGGGCAGACTGTCCCAAGTTACCCCCGTTGACGGAACATAAATTTTGATTGAGTGGTGTACATGTTCCCCGGTTCTACGGTCAGGTATAGCAGCTTCCTGCGGTGTTCTCTGACGATTTCGGAAGTGAACTATGGCTGTGAGAGGTTGGAGTCTGCTGTGTGGAGAGCAATTTTTGAATTCCTCACATTGATAATGTTTCTCTACTGCCAGGCCCCTCTAAAATGGTTTGCACTCGAACTGTTTTTTTACGAGCCACAGGGTTGTTTTGGAACATCGGTTTCTTCTGAGTTTTGAGCCTATCCTCTGAATTCTACACGCTTAAAACCTTGCGAAGTATTTTGCGCATTCATAGTACAAATTAATTTTCTTTGTTATGCGAAGAAATAGTTCGGAAAATACGAAGTATTTTGTTTGTAAGCTTATGTATGCTCAAAATTCTTTGTTATGACAAGCTGCTTTTGTTTGATATGTCTAAAATAGTTTGTAAGGTTTTCTTAGTGAAGACATTCTTATTTTTGCACCGCAAGTCATTTTTTTTCCTGACATGTGGTGATGGCATTTGCGAAGATCCAAATAAAACATTAAGAAAAGCACTTACTCCGCGGTGGGTGCGGTCACAGCCGCGGCCAGCTGGTCCAAGATCTCTTGCACTTCCTCAGACACGATCCAGTTCACCTGAAACACGCGTACCACTTAGCATATCGTGGTTTACAAAATATTGAAACTGCTTTTGTTTCTCCTAACCTTCTGTCAGTTCTTTCCCCATGCGTCAATTTGATCAAAATCTATGGTACGCGTGTGTGCACTTGACATTATTTAGACCACGAATGGTACGCGTCTTACAGTGTCACACAACGCAGACAGTACTTCAGAGGGTGACCCCTTTATTGGAGAGGAGAAACGTAAACGAGTGGGATGCATTTCCTCTTGGGAAAGTTGAAAAATATCGCCTGAAAAGATGCCGATATGTCCAACCTCCTCTTAGCAGCCCTCGTGACATCTTTCCCAATTATCAGCAAATAGTTCTCCCTGTTGTTGCCTAAATAGTTGCATTTTCTACTTCTGCTCTGACTAAAAAAGCGTACCAAAGACTCCGAAAAACTAAAGTATTACTTCCCCTCGATTTCTAAAATATATTTCCCTTGCAACGGTATGAGTCATACCTGAGAATCGAGCATGGCCACGTCGCTGACGATGCCGTCAAGGTACTTGTTGATGTACTTCTTGGCCACAGTCTCGAGCAGCGCGGTGAGCTTAGAATTGTTAGCCTGAAAACCAATTGAGAGTTGCCGTTATTGGCATGTAAACAGCGTGCGGTGTGTGGTGAGGACGGGAGGTTGATTCGGGGCGCAAAGTCGTGACTCCTGTCACTATTTATAAGTTCGCAAGAAAGACACTGCTAGAAACAAGGTAGGTTTACGCCAGACCGCGTCTTGTCGTAACAGGCTTCGCGATGTCTCGCGGCCTGTGTCTTCAATCCGCGCCTGGCGTACCCACCTTGGCCTGCGGCGCTAGCCTGCGTTCGGCAGGCATTGGCTTCTCCATCGTCGGTTACTTTTTACTTGCTGCTCCGCCCCCCCAGACCCCCCTTCATTCGAGATAGAGTTGTTTCATCTACAGATAACACGATCTTGACCCTTGTAACTTTTTAACTTGTCGAGGCTGGGGGCCTGCGCCCCCCAGACCCCCCTTTCTTCAAGTCAGGAGTGATCTGTCTGCAGAGAACTCGATTTTTCGCCGTTTTTAGGTGTTTTTCGGCTATAAAAACTGAACCACTTGAGCTAGGATAGTTAAATTTCGCGTGTGCCAAGCCAAGAACATACCTAATAAGCCTGCAAAATCTCAGCCAGATCGGCCGAGCCGTTCAGGAGGAGTAGTGTACGTAGCTCAACTGGTTCAGTTTTTGGCCCGCCCTTCTATTCAAACAAGCTAGGGCCCGCCCTTCCGTCGAACCGAGTTGCCAGCTCCGCTTCGCTGCGCCGGCAACTCGGTTCGACAGGGGGCCGGCCCAGCTTGGCCTGCCGGCGGCCTTTTCTCGGGCCTTCGGCCCTCGCATCAGACCCAACTTGGCCAGTCGAAGGCCCGGGCCTTCGGCCCGCTCGCATCACACACACCGTGAGCGGGTAAAGCAAATTTATCGATGTACCATCGTGACTTAGGCCCGCCCTTCTATTCACAATATGCAATAGTCCTTACACTTTTTACTCCAACTGTCCTTAGAATATGCCCATTTCATTTGTCTCCTCGCCCTCATTCCGAAAATACCCATATTTGCCATGCTACTGCAACTCCTTGCAAAAGAGGCACAGCAGGAGCGCAAAACGAGTCCGTCGCACTTTTCCCCATAACTCATGAAGGCGGGCTCCTGGACCCCCTTCCGACCCCTCGTTGAAGAGGTCTTGCCAAGACCTATCCAAGACTTAAGTAAAAATTTTCAGTCGGTCGACCCCCATTTTTCAAGATCCTGATGTGACTAATAGACGAAGTCGGGCTCCTGGACCCCCTTTCCGACCCCTCGTTGAAAAGGTCTTGCTGAGACCAATCGAAATCTGCAATAATTTTTTTTAGTCGGTCGACCCCCCTTTTTTGAAGATCCTGATCTGGCCAACTTGTAAAAGCGGCCGATGGGGTCGGGACCAGGTCCATTCATCTTGTCTCGTCGCCCCGATTCCAAAAATACCCCTATGTGCCCTGCTAGCACCAATAATGGCGGAAATCCCCCTCCCGCTCATGTAAACCATGATGCACCTGCAGCAGCCCTTGTGCGACCCGGACGGGATTTGCACCCCCGGATTATTTGTTTGGACGGTACTCCTGAAGTACCCTCCAAATCTGGTTACTCTAGCTCAACTCCTTCCTTGTACACAGACGCCAACAACAACAACAACAACACACAGACACAAAGGCAAATGCATAGGCCCTCCCCCTATTTTTTGAATAGAAGGGCGGGCCAAAAATAGGGGGAGGGCCTATGCATTTGCCTTTGTGTCTGTGTGTTGTTGTTGTTGTTGTTGTTGTTGTTGGCGTCTGTGTACAAGGAAGGAGTTGAGCTAGAGTAACCAGATTTGGAGGGTACTTCAGGAGTACCGTCCAAACAAATAATCCAGTGGTGCAAATTCCGTCCGGGTCGCACAAGGGCTGCTGCAGGTGGATCATGGTTTACATGAGCGGGAGGGGGATTTCCGCCATTATTGGTGCTAGCAGGGCACATAGGGGTATTTTTGGAATCGGGGCGACGAGACAAGATGAATGGACCTGGTCCCGACCTCATCGGCCGCTTTTACAAGTTGGCCAGATCAGGATCTTCAAAAAACGGGGTCGACTGACTAAAAAAATTTATTGCAGACTTCGATTGGTCTCAGCAAGACCTTTTCAACGAGGGGTCGGAAAGGGGGTCCAGGAGCCCGACTTCGTCTATTAGTCACATCAGGATCTTGAAAAAAGGGGGTCGACCGACTGAAAATTTTTACTTAAGTTTTGGATAGGTCTTGGCAAGACCTCTTCAACGAGGGGTCGGAAGGGGGGTCCAGGAGCCCGCCTTCATGAGTTATGGGAAAAAGTGCGACGGACTCGTTTTGCGCTCCTGCTGTGCCTCTATTGCAAGGAGTTGCAGTAGCATGGCAAATATGGGTATTTTCGGAATGAGGGCGAAGAGACAAATGAAATGGGCATATTCTTAGGACAGTTGGAGTAAAAAGTGTAAGGACTATTGCATATTGTGAATAGAAGGGCGGGCCTAAGTCACGATGGTACATCGATAACTTTGCTTTACCCGCTCACGGTCTGTGTGATGCGAGCGGGCCGAAGGCCCGGGCCTTCGACTGGCCAAGTTGGGTCTGATGCGAGGGCCGAAGGCCCGAGAAAAGGCCGCCGGCAGGCCAAGCTGGGCCGGCCCCCTGTCGAACCGAGTTGCCGGCGCAGCGAAGCGGAGCTGGCAACTCGGTTCGACGGAAGGGCGGGCCCTAGCTTGTTATAGCCGAAAACCACCTAAAAAATGGCGAAAAATCGAGTTTTCTGCAGGTAGATCTCTCCTGTCTTGATGAAAGGGGGTCTGGGGGACGGAGCCCCCCAGCATGCAACAAGTAAGGAGCAACCGACGATGGACAAGCCAATACCTGCCGAAGGCAGGCTAGCGCCGCAGGCCAAGGTAGGTACGCCAGGCGCGGATTGGAGGAACAGGCCGCGAGACATCGCGAAGCGTGTTACGACGCGGTCTGGCGTAAACCTACCTTGTTTTATCAGGAACTTATTGTACTTTCAAAGTACAACAATTGTTGTACAAAGTACAATGGAACCGGCATGCCAAATGCAGTGCAGTCCAGGTCTCGTTGTACTTTATACAATCCATTTTGTACACTGTGGCAAAAAGGTAGGGAAAATCCTGTTAATTTTTTTGCCAGTATTCTCCGTAGCCCTCTTATCAATATTCTCCGTAGGCTCTTACAGTATTCTCCGTAGGGTCGTACAGTATTCTCTGCAAGTCCGCACAGTCTTCTCCGTAGGACCTCGAAGACTGTATAGTCCTACGGAGATCACTGTAAGGTCCTACGGAGAAGACTGTGTGGTCCTACAGAAAATACTGTAAGAGCCTACGGAGAATATTCATAAGGGGCCTACGGAGAATTACCACAAGCTGTTTACAGAATTTGCCGTAGCTTTTTGCCACAGTGTACTTCTACTGTACAGTTTCTGTTCTACTTTTGTTGTTCTATTCACACCTTTTCCTGCAGTGCCCCTATAAAAGTGCTTACCGATGCGAAAGCAGGTACCAGCTTGTTGATGAGTTTGTTGACAGTCTTGCTCATGACACCATTATCGAGCAGGTTGGCTAGGTTGATCTGCAGCGGGAGAAAACGGCAATTGGGATTACCAATGAAACCTTGCCTCAATCTTTTCATAGGCCTCGTGTGCAGGTTCGGAGTGGCGAATGAGTCTTTCGCTGTTAACTAAATCGTGACTTAGGATGAATCAACGAACAGGAGGTTCTTATTTGTAACGCCTCGGCCAACACTACAGTCCTGAAAATTTCACACTGAACATACCAGAATCACAAGGGGAGAGCAAAGAAGCCTCAGTTCGTTTAAGTGGAAATGAAGCAGCAGAGTAAACAACTACATACGGTGAGCTTGTCCCAGCTCCAGCTGTTGATCTTGATGGCGTTAAGGTGGAGGGAGTTGCCACGTGGGACAACTTCAGCGACGCCGGATCCCTTGATTCCTTTGGCCGAAATCCTGCAAGCCAGCAATTTGGACTGTGACAAGGGACTGGTTTTAACACGACAGCACTCTAAATGTCTTAAAATGAAATTTGAGCTATGTTAGAGTGATTTTGGCCCAAGCATAGGACGAAGCAATATTTATACGCAATACGAATCTTTTCAGTATTTTTATTGCAAGATACAAAGAAACGCCTTCGTAATACGAAAAAAAAAATACCTTGTTCGCATCGTGCCATTTCTCTCGTACTAAGGGAAATTTCTTCGTTAGACATTATGAGTGGAGACCATTTCGAGGGGTCCTATTCAAAAGATCTTATCTGCGCGTTCCCCCCAAGACAATCTTATCTTAAACGCAGGCGAATTTCACTCAGTTTGACCATTTGGGATGGATACGCGAGTAAGCGGGATATATTTCTGCATGCACTATTGGTTTCTTTGATCGTTCATCTTTACATTTCAGTGAATTTAATCACAAATTATATTGATTTGTAGCTGTATCAAATGATCAAACTAAGTGAAATTTTCTTACGTTTAAGATAAGATTGTCTTGGGGGGAACGCGCAGATAAGATCTTTTGAATAGGACCCCTCGATTTTCAGGACGTCCCCACCGTGAAACTTAGACTTCACGCTAAATATTGTACAATTTCGTTTCAGACGCCGAAATTTAGAGTGAGTTTCAGAAAAGCCAGAAATACAACCGGCCAATTTTGTCTTCTTTCCGGGCCCACCCAGAGTAGGGTGCGTCGATATGCACGACTTTTCAGATGCAGCTTTTGGGTAGCACTCAAAAGTTTCGTTTTTTTTGTGCTGATTCCATAAATGACCTCGGTTTTGCGATAGGACAAAGCCTTCATGACCCTACCGGGCGTTTTATGTCAAAAAGCGGAGTTTTTGTATTTTTTCTTGTTTTTGGGTTCCGCATTCCATCCCAAACTGTCGGGGCGGCTGTTGCACGGTCGGATGGCCACCGCCTACACTAAATACAAGTTTTGCGGCTTGGCAGGACCACCGGACACCTCACGTGTGTGTCCCAAACCTCAATTTTCACCATTTTTTTAACACAATTTTTCATTTTTCCCCCTTTTTCCAGCTTTTATCGAGGATTGTACCGACCCAGTCGGTCTATACCATGACCAGAGGTTGTATAAAACAGTGTAGGGGTACAAAGAACGCAAGGCAGCCCCCGGACCGGGGCTGTGTAGGGAGGGGGAGAAGGGAGGTAGGGGAGGCGGAGAAAAAAAAGTCCCAAAATCGGCCCAAATCAGCTGCTTTGCCCTTGCGTTTGGTAAATACTGTATTACCGTGCAGGTCTTAGCTCGGGAAGTGTTTGTACCCCTTGCCTACCCAGGACTCACCACGAGGAGGTGCCTGCACATTGAGTCCCGCCCACTCTCCCACCCGCGCTTGGTTTTTCTAACGCGGCGGTTTGATCACTGCCTTGTTAGTGTACTTGGGCATGGCGTTTCTCGCAGAGACCCTGGTCCTTATGAAGCCATCGCGGCGCTCCTGGCCGACCACCTTCTCCACCGCGGTGGTGACCTCCTTGGCAAAGCGCTCCACTGGCTGGGTGTGGAACGGCAGTGGAGGCAGCTCCAGAGGGCTGGCAGCGGCGGCGGCCTGCAGGTCTTCGTCGTCGAAGGTGGTCGGCCAGGAGCGCCGCGATGGCTTCATAAGGACCAGGGTCTCTGCGAGAAACGCCATGCCCAAGTACACTAACAAGGCAGTGTTCAAATCACCGCGTTAGGAAAACCAAGCGCGGGTGCGAGAGTGGGCGGGACTCAATGTGCAGGCACCTCCTCGTGGTGAGTCCTGGGTAGGCAAGGGGTAGAAACACTTCCCGATCTAAGACCTGCACGGTAATACAGTATTTACCAAACGCAAGGGCAAAGCAGCTGATTTGGGCCGATTTTGGGACTTTTTTTTCTCCGCCTCCCCTACCTCCCTTCTCCCCCTCCCTACACAGCCCCGGTCCGGGGGCTGCCTTGCGTTCTTTGTACCCCTGCACTGTTTTATACAACCTCTGGTCATGGTATAGACCGACTGGGTCGGTACAATCCTCGATAAAAGCTGAAAAAAGGGGGAAAAATGAAAAATTGTGTTAAAAAAATGGTGAAAATTGAGGTTTGGGACACACACGTGAGGTGTCCGGTGGTCCTGCCAAGCCGCAAAACTTGTATTTAGTGTAGGCGGTGGCCATCCGACCGTGCAACAGCCGCCCCGACAGTTTGGGATGGAATGCGGAACCCAAAAACAAGAAAAAATACAAAAACTCCGCTTTTTGATATAAAACGCCCGGTAGGGTCATGAAGGCTTTGTCCTATCGCAAAACCGAGGTCATTTATGGAATCAGCTCTAAAAAAAACGAAACTTTTGAGTGCTACCCAAAAGCTGCATCTGAAAAGTCGTGCATATCGACGCACCCTAACCCAGAGTGGCCCTCAGGTGACTGACACACTCTACCAGTTCGAACTTACGTGAGTGGTCCCTTGCCGTTGAGGTTGACCTTGATGAAGCCGACCTTGACCTGGCCGTGGATGTCGTAGTCGCCCGTCACCTCGATGCCGGGCACCTCAATGGCCACCTTCATCTGGCTGGAGTCACCGACCTGGGTCAACTCCGTGACCTGGAAGGACGACGCACCGACCACCTTGATTGCGCTCGCTTCGAGGTTGGCCCTGCAATGCAAGTGGCTTGCGTCACACCTCTACACACTCAACGATTTAGGACGCCCTCATGAAAGCGAGTAGCTTTCATGATCTTATTGGACACGAAAGTTTGTTCACGTCTTCTGGATAGACACTTCCACTCGCACTTCCACCAGAACGCCGAGTGGAGAACGAGAGGAATAAGAAGCGCCGGAACCAGTTCACAAAATTGTCTTATTTGCAGGTTTGACGGATTCAAACCATGGAACCCATCCTCGTTTCATTTTTACAAATTTCTAGAGCCCAAATGAGCACGTAATATTAACAAATTACACTCTCAGCCTTTTACTGACTTTTTCTAATTAGCTTTTGCATTTCTGTAAGCAACCATAAAACTTAGTATTTTTTGTCAGTATTACTTAGTAATTGCTAATTACTGTACTGATATTACCGTTTTCTTAGTAAATTACAAAGAAATTTTTATGTATTTAAGAACTAAATACTAAGTATTATGGTTGCTTACAGAAATACGTCTGCTAATGAGAAATAGTCAGTAAACGGCTGAGAGTGTAGCGACTTTTGTAGACTGTTTCCGGCTTTCGTTATTCTTTTTCTTCTTCACTCGGCGCGCTGGTGGAAGTGTCCATTACGACACGTTATTTTGTATTGCACTACAATGCGGTGCAGCCGTCTTATAAAACTTTATTCTAGTATTTCAAAACTCTATGTTTTATATTCCAAAACTTTTCTTTGCAATACAATATTTTGTCTCAATATTTTCTGGTGGTTTTTGTCACGTGATTATACCGTACCGTCTTAGAATGTTTTGTATCGAAGAAAAGTTTTGAAATACAAATCAGACGACTTTCTATTACTAGAGAATTTGTTTCATAATACAACACCATCGCGTTTTCAAATACAGAAGCAAGTCTTATAAAACAAGACTTTGGCAGACTTTTGATTAATAATGTAAGGAAAAATTCCAAGTACGTACTTAAGTACGTCCATGCATAAGAAGGTGGGTTCTTACTTGAAGGGCGAGGCGTTGATGCTGATAGGGATTTTCTTGATGGACAGGGGCTCCAGCACGGGGATGTTGAGATCGGGGCGGCCGGTCGACATCATGTCCTTGAACTCGGCGATGGTCTTGGCCACCTTGTCCTCCAGGTCGGTGGCCTGCGCCGCGACGGCCAGGGCCGCGACCACGGCTACGAGTCTCCACGCCGCACGCATGATGGCCTGGAAGTGAGAAGACGCTAAGGATTCCCCAAGAAACACACGGCTAAGTGTGAGACAAGCACATGCTTGCAAACGTAAGGTAAAAAATCAGCTGTTGGTCACGAATCAATTATGGCACTGAGATTCCAAACGCTATAAATATAGCACGAATGGTACAATGCACTGAGATATCGCACCATACACTGTGGCAAAAAGCTACAGAAAATTCTGTAAACAGCTTGTGGTAATTCTCCGTAGCCCCCTTATCAATATTCTCCGTAGGCTCTTACAGTATTCACCGTAAGACCTTACAGTGATCTCCGTAGGACTATACAGTCTTCCACACTCTCAGACTCGTATTGACTTTTTTCTCTTCATTATTGACTTTTTGTCCTTTGCTTACGTAGTTTTTTAAGCAGCAATAATATGTAGTATTTCCTTTGTAACCATGTACAATATTGTTCACTATACAGACTAAATTCTCATCAATTAATGACTATTTTTTAAGTCAATTGCGTATTGACTCTTTGTCAATAGCAAATTGACTTTAAGTCAATATAACAAACGAAATCTTACATAGATATTGACGAAATAGTACTTTTTATTGCTGTGTAAAATACTCTTTAACAAAGGACAAAAAGTCAATTACAGTCTGAGAGTGCAGGTCCTACGGAGAAGACTGTGCGGACTTACAGAGAATACTGTACGGCCCTACGGAGAATACTGTAAGAGCCTACGGAGAATATTGATAAGAGGGCTACGGAGAATCCTGGCAAAAAAAATAACAGAATTTTCCGTACCTTTTTGCCACAGTGTACGTGCAATGCCTCAGCCATGTTGCACCTAACGTGCAATGCGTCCCGAAAGTGCCCTATGCTGATGCATGGACATGGGAAGGCATTGTACTTCATGTGCAATGCTTTTGCATTGGACCAATTGACGCTACATTCATAGCGTTTGGATTCTCAGTGAGGCCATTTCGTTCGACGGGCCGCTACTAGCTCATGAATGAGCGGATCGTATTATTCCAGGCGTTTTGCCAAACTCCCACTTTCTTTCCTCATACTTTCCAAAAAATAAACTCGTCTATCAAGAATTCCTTTAATGAGGAATCAAGCGGCAGTTCGTGCCAAGAAAGCTGAAGTACTCACTGTCATCCAAGAAACATAAAGTACTTACTGTGATGTGTTCGTGGTGCTACCGGGCACTGAGGACGATCGCAGTCTGAGGCCACTTAATAAACGGACTGCACACCAAATCTTATCATCGAAGTGATTTGATTTCCGCGACAATCTCCAACCGCAGTGCAATGAAGCAATGTGTGTTATCAGCCTCCGCAGTTGCAGAATATACTGCAAATTACAAAATTCACGAGCCATATGCATTCTGCTGCAAGAGGTTGGCTCGCGTAAGAAATACAACCTACCTGAGCCTCGAATTGACATTTTCGGCATGCTAACGCGGTGGCTATCAACCACACCGCGGCTTAGTTAAGAACAGTTAAAATTTGTTTCCGTTCTAAGTCTTTATTTGCCTCTATATTGCTGAGAACATTATTGAACGTACCTTTGTATCCAGATGCTTCTTATCAACAGCGATCTTCTGAAGGGCCTGGTTCCTCAAGAGTGGGAAAAAGGTTGCCATTTTTAATCTTCCACGAAGTGTTATGCACATTTCATAGCAATAAGTTAGTAACTCAATCCATTACTTTTTTTTGGCCTGCCCAGTATGTCATGAAATAGGGAAGAAGCATTTGCCTTTTTATTGTTCAAAAAATCTAAAGATTCCGTCAGACCGATTGTTTCAAACTTGCTACTGGCAGTTAAAGTTTCAGACTTAAAGTTACAGCTTCGAGTTTTGCTGATAGTTCGTCTTTCAATTTCAGTAAGGTGTTGATTCATTACTGCTTAAGTGTAAGACCACTTTTATTTTGGAACACCTGGGACGGTGCACAAAGTCTGAATCTTCTCAAGGGTCGCGCCGCTCGGCCGCATTTATACGCAGTGCAGTAGCTAAGGTGCGAAGTTCGGATCAACACAAGGGCCCAACTCCTGTGGCTCTTCAGGACCGAAAACAAAAGAAAGTTCAAAGGTCGTTGGGCAGCATGATCACCTATTCCCAACGCAAAAATATACCTGAGAATTTTCAGACCTCATGGTAAACATCGGGCCTAACCTTGCCATCGGTCTGTCAGGGAAGCCGAAACCGTAGAAATTGACAGGCGAATGGAGGATCTGTGGCGCTTTAGCATCAGAATCACGAACAAAATAAAAACGTTCAACATCATTATTCAGTATTAAAGTACACTGTTTGAAAACATACTCTAAAAGTCATACGAAGGAACTTCCCATAATACGAAGGAAATGGCGCAAGCATAATACGAAGGTGGTTTTTCTTCGCATTACGAAGGTTTTTCTTTGTATCTTACAATGAAAGAGCTGAAAGATTCGTATTACGAAGGAATATTGCTTCGTATTGTGCTTGCGCCGAATTCACTGTAACATACGAATAAAATAGGTAAATTTAATTGTAAGAAATTTAGAGTGTAGATTTTATGGAAAAAAAACTCTAAAATCATGTTCATGGAGACTCCGTTTAGTTCCCAACTGTTTTTTCGGAGAGATCTGAGTGACAAGTTGCTTGATAATGGAGGCGGTGTATCTGTCGGTGCCATAACAGTGATAGTACAGTAAAACCCATTATGCACTTGACACTCCGACAAGGTGAACGTCTGTGGCCAATTTTTTGCGTTAATCAGCTCGGCGCTAGAGATTGATGCTCTGGGACACCAGACACAATATAAATCATAATCAGCAGCAGAAACTTTTCCCATACAGCCAGGGATGATACCCAAACCGAAACGATACCAGGGCCGTTACGACAACAGTTTGCACATATGACTGAAACTCAAAAAGTGTAGCACCTGAAACCAAGGGAACAGCTTTTCCTTGTTGATCAAGGCGTACCGGAGTTTTGTTCCCATGTGGGCCAAGTCCAAATTCCGCTTCCCTGAGTTTTGTTGATGAACAAGGCGAACGTCTGTGCAACACTTCTTGAGTTTTAATCATAAGCGCAAACTGTTGTCGTAACGGCCCTGGTATCGTTTCGGTTTGGGTATCATCCCTGCATACAGCCACGTTCTTAGCTCATTTGGAAAAGGTTGCATAAAATCTGCTGCATAATTACTTCGGCATACTTTCCCGTCAGGTGTACTGCAAATATTCACTTGATTAGACTAGGACTAGGCAGTTCTTAAACCAGAGATAAAGAAGCCAGTAAAATAAGGTTCAATCGAATTTAGACTATTTTTTTCGTTTATATGTTCATGAAACTAAATACCCTTCAATCCTGACGGTCTGGTAAGTACACACTAAAACGCATGCTTACAAGTACCCAGTTACAAATGCTTATGCGGAGCGTAGGGGTGTGCGAATCAAGGATTTTCGTTTCGAATCCAACTCCAATCTTAAATTAATTTTTGAATCGAACTGACGCGAACTTTCCTGTCATTTTATAACCTTTTCCCTAATCTGACCACCTTGGTTCGAAGACGAACCATCAACGATTCGTAATTTCGAATACTTGAGATCAAACTGTGGTAATCTGACTCCGAATCGAATCTTGCCCGATCCCATTCGGTAGCGAACTATTCGCACATCACTAGCTCAACGTGGATTCACACGGCTCCAAGCATGCATTTGTGTGTACTTAGAAGACAGTTACGTTTGTATTGTATATCGTGTTGAATGCAAGTACCCGACGAAGAGTTGGAAATGTTGTCTCAGTTAACTTCACACTAGAAATCTTAACGAAGTATTTTGAGCATATGTAACATAGCCATTAGGTTTGTTGTGAGAAGAAATAGCTTCTAATTTACCAAATATTTTCTTCGTGAGCTAATGTCTGCTCAAAATACTTTGCTACAACAATTCACTTTTCTTTGTAAGTAGTTTTTAAAGTTTCGAAAGTAAAGTGAGTGTAGGGTGGCAGCAACGCTTGCATCCTTCTACACACTGGCCACTTGTTGACATCCGCGAGAGCCACATAGAAACTGCTGGCAGGTGTCCTTTGACTTGGGTTGTTCACCTTTCGACTCTTGAGTTGTGGCTCCCTGTAATCTCAAGAGAGAAATCACAGATTGTCTGCTCTGCAGCCACTTGGTTGTTACTCGGCCTGCCTTAACGAGCCTCGAAGTTTGCATTGCAGATGAACTGCTGATTGTTGCACTGGACTGGATCAAACCGCAACCCCACCACGCTATCCCAGATCGCAGCTCAGAAAGTGAATTAGGAATTAGGGCAGAAGTTGCTTCTTTAGTTTTCAATAAATTCAACAAAGTAGGTGCACGCCAGATAGTGGCTTGCAGTAACTGGCTTCGCGATGCTGCGCCAGTTCCGACAGTCCACGCCCGGCGTTTACACCTACCTTGGCCTGTGGCGCTGGTTTGCCTTCGGCAGAACTCTTTTGACACACATCGGCATAAAAAAAGGGACGTGATCGCTCTTCAAACCATCATATAGTTTAAACATTCATGCGGGGGGGGGGGGATGGTCGAGTTTGGTTCTTTTTTACCCATTATGTGTACTCATTGGAACGGACCGGCCCAAAACATCGTCTTGACGGATGACAAGGCGTCAAACTACGTTCAGGACTCACATGGGATTGATTCGTGGTCCAATGCGAAGCCTACAGACGGATACTCCTGACAAAATGCCAATTGCCGCCGTCCATCGGGGCGCCTGAGAACTCAAAGTAGGCCGCCCGTTGAGCTCGCCTGTGTTGCGGGCCTGCCTAACTGCCATTACCATTACCTTTTTTACCCATTATGTGTACTCATTGGAACGGACCGGCCCAAAACATCGTCTTGACCACCACACATAATCGTATGCCATTTCGGGCCCGACACATGCTCGCCTGCACTGCAAAACGAGACATGGCCGTCCTCACTAGGCAGGCGCGTAATTTGGGGAGGGGAGGGGGGAATTGCCCCCTTTGGTCTCTTTTTTGGGCTTTAACGCGGATTGTTTCTTTGTATTGATGCGTAGACGTTGTTAATGTAGTTAATAAAACTTAAACGATATGAGCACTGTGTAGTTGAGATAATATTTACCGTACTGTTTTGATGCAACACTATAAAACTGACAACACTCTACAAAAAATGTCCTGTCAACGCCGTTAATTTATTACCAATGTTTGCTGTTATGCAATTCACGGCGTTTGCTGTGAACTAGTTCACGGCGTTCACTGTGATCTCGGTTACAGTGTTCACTGTGATCTGGCCACAGTAAACGCCGTGAATTGGAGCCTGATTTGCAGTACTTCGGTGCTTAGCGGCGTCAAACTCACAGTGTTTACTGGGGACCAGATCACAGTGAACACCGCGAACAAGATCACAGTGAATCCCGTGAGCAGATCACAGTAAACGCTGTGAATTGACCTACAGTGAAAACTGGTAATAAATTAACGGCATTTACAGGACATTTTTGGTAGAGTGAAGTTTGCCCTCGAGTTTGCCCCTAAAGATATGCACACTGAGATTCGAAACTCCATGAGTATAGCACGTGTTGTGCAATGTATGGACACATTGCACTATACGTGCAATGCCATAGCCATATTGCACCTTTCGTGCAATGCATCCTGAAAATGCCCTATACGAATGCATGGGAAGGCATTGCACTGATTGGTGCAATGAAAACGTTTTCAAACAGGAAGTCTCTGCGTGAACTCTGAATTTAATCCAACTCTGTTGAACAGATATCCTTCAAGTCGGTTTCGGTGTAATTGGCACTGCATGATGAGTTCGAAGAAATTTCCAACGTTTTATTCATGTTATTGCCAAAACACGGAAATGGGAACCATTAACATCGCTCCTGGGCAGCTAACACTGTGAATAAAAGAGTCTTGATCAATAATATCACGGTTTAGGTGAGGATTATTTATCACTCAAATTCAGGCGATGAAGATTTCCTTATCCAAATTTGGGCAATAATGGGATCAGCCAGCTACCTATTAAGCTAATTAGTAGTGACCACTCTAATTTTGGTGATTGGACACTTTCATCGTTCAAATTTGTGCGATAAAAGAATCCCACCCGAATTTGCACTATAAAGAATGCGTCACTCGATTTGTTAGCCCTGATTATGTCTCTTCGACTCACATTGAAGCATGGCGGTTCTATGACAGCGTTATGCAGTACGAGGAGCACCACAGAACTCATCACCGGCCATTTCGACGTCCTGCAGTGACAGCGCAAACGACCTGCGCGGACGACCCATCATTCGAATTACTTCTGGCCGCCGGCGGGACGTGCCCACGGCAGAATGATAGACCATTCTAGTCGTGGCCGAGTGAATAACAAAAAGAATCACAAAAGACAACCTTTAAGCACTACTATCCTTAATATTTAAGACTCTTGGCTTGGTAGAAGTTAGTGAGGATATTTAACTGCAAAACCTACTTATTTTCAGTGAACATATGCTTTCAAAATGCCCTAAATGAGTCTGTTGTGATTCTTCTTGTTCTTAACTGGGCCACGGCTACACTCTCAGACCTATATGACTTTTTTCTCTCTTGCTTATGGCGTTTTTTGAGCAAATGTAAAATGTACTATTTTCTCCTTAACTATGCACAATTTTGATCGTATAATAAAGATGAAATAGTCAATAGATCATGTAGAAATTGAAAAGTACATTGCCAATGACAAAAAGGCCGGCTTAATGGACTAAATACATTATACAATGAACAAAATAGTGCGTAGCTACAGAGAAAATAGTACATAGTACGTTTACACAAAAACCTTTATGGCAAGAGACAAAAAGTCAAGACGAGTCTGAGTGTAGAGTGGTCTATTCCGTGAGCCGTTTCCATTGCTCTCTCTCTCTCTCTCTCTCACACTCACGGTGCGTCCACAGGTGCGAGAGAGACAGAGTGACGAAGACGACTTCCAAAATCAACCTGCTCCGCGGGCCTGCAGGAGCGTGCGTACCAGCAAACTGATTCCAAGAGTAATTTTCATGTCTCTGACTCCCTCGCTCTCATGGAGCTTTCCTTACAGGTGCGAGAGAGACAGCGAGGGAAACGACTACCTCGGTGTCCGTGAGGTGGAGGGCCCGCGCCAAATCCAGCGTGTCGTGGAGACGGACGCGGCCCTGGCAGAGCCTGGACGAAAATCGCAAAGCCGGGCGCAGTGTCACTCTCCGTCCCGGCAGTGCCCGGTCGGTCAGAACGCCGCCAAACAGCACCCAGCTCACGGACTCCAGAGCGAGGGCACCGACACACTCAAGCTCTCAAGTAAGTCGGCGTGCTTTGTCCGAGAAGAAAGTTCTGCGGCAGTTGGGCGTAAGGCGCTTGGGAAAGCCATCGAAGATACGTTGTTATGTCCTCGTCCTGTCATTGTTGCTAAAATCTTCATAGAATCGACGACCCCCAGGCAGTTAAAACGACAGGAAAATAATTAAACATTCGATAAAAAGAATGTTGAAGACAAAGACTCTTAAATTTAAAAAAAAAGTTCTTTTAAAAGAATGTTCAACAAACCGGCTGTTAAATGAGGAGCCTTCAAAATAAAAGAGCTGTTACAAAGGGAATAAATTTTAAAAAAAAAACTTGGAATTGTTCGGAGAACTTTTTGAATTTATTTACTTTCTCAGATCCTGGCGAGATTTTGTGAGCAGGTTGCCTCAAGTAGGTAGGAGTCTCAGACCAAAAAATTTCATGCAGCAAAAATTTATTTACTGATCTGTAACAAATTCTGTGTAGGAATGGGCAAAGCCGTTCGACTTTTACGGGACGCTCAATGACCAAACCAACGCATGGCGACGGATTCGGGAGGGCTTAGTTGCCCGGGGTCCCAGCATGCATGTCGGTTGCTCCGACCGATCTTCCATATAACGCCCCCCCCCTTTCCCTCTTTTTCCCGCCGTTGGCGGTTAACCGCCCCTCCCGACAGGGTGCTCTGGGCACGCCTCTTGAGTCATTGTTACTGGCTTTTCCGTCCATTTCTATGGAGTGGCAGAATTTTGTTGTTTCGGCACTACTTGAAAGTAGCAACGTTTGCAGGCAATCAGCTCCTTCGTCTCAGTGTTCAGAATTTGACCAGTGCCTCGGTACCTGCCATAGAAAAAACTCGGAGGGAACTTGGCGATGTAGTTTGTTGAAACATTATTCACTGAGTACGTGTCCTGCTAAAGTAGAACAAAAGAAAAGAAAAATGCAGTCGTCAACTCTTATTTGGTCAACTCCCCCACAAAATGCCAGCCATCTCACGCAATTTTTAGAGGAACTGTGAACAATTAAAGTTTTGGGCCATTTTACCACTGCTCTGAAAATCGAATAGTGATACATCTCACTCTGAGAGGTGAGACATAACTGTGTCACCGAAAAACAAGCTAGGGCCCGCCCTTCCGTCGAACCGACTTGCCAGCTCCGCTTCGCTGCGCCGGCAACTCGGTTCGACAGGGGGCCGGCCCAGCTTGGCCTGCCGGCGGCCTTTTCTCGGGCCTTCGGCCCTCGCATCAGACCCAACTTGGCCAGTCGAAGGCCCGGGCCTTCGGCCCGATCGCATCACACACACCGTGAGCGGGTAAAGCAAAGTTATCGATGTACCATCGTGACTTAGGCCCGCCCTTCTATTCACAATATGCAATAGTCCTTACACTTTTTACTCCAACTGTCCTTAGAATATGCCCATTTCATTGGTCTCTTCGCCCTCATTCCGAAAATACACATATTTGCCATGCTACTGCAACTCCTTGCAAAAGAGGCACAGCAGGAGCGCAAAACGAGTCCGTCGCACTTTTTCCCATAACTCATGAAGGCGGGCTCCTGGACCCCCCTTCCGACCCCTCGTTGAAGAGGTCTTGCCAAGACCTATCCAAAACTTAAGTAAAAATTTTCAGTCGGTCGACCCCCTTTTTTCAAGATCCTGATGTGACTAAAAGACGAAGTCGGGCTCCTGGACCCCCTTTCCGACCCCTCGTTGAAAAGGTCTTGCTGAGACGAATCGAAATCTGCAATAAATTTTTTTAGTCGGTCGACCCCTTTTTTTGAAGATCCTGATCTGGCCAACTTGTAAAAGCGGCCGATGGGGTCGGGACCAGGTCCATTCATCTTGTCTCGTCGCCCCGATTCCAAAAATACCCCTATGTGCCCTGCTAGCACCAATAATGGCGGAAATCCCCCTCCCGCTCATGTAAACCATGATGCACCTGCAGCAGCCCTTGTGCGACCCGGACGGGATTTGCTCCACCGGATTATTTGTTTGGACGGTACTCCTGAAGTACCCTCCAAATCTGATTACTCTAGCTCAACTCCTTCCTTGTACACAGACGCCAACAACAACAACAACACACAGACACAAAGGCAAATGCATAGGCCCTCCCCCTATTTTTTGAATAGAAGGGCGGGCCAAAAAGTGATACTAAACTGTATCACCGAAAAAACGGTCGTACACGCATTTATCACCGAAAAAAAGATCGTACACGAATGTATCACCGAAAAAAAAGGTCGTACACGAATGTATCACCGAAAAAAAGGTCGTACACAAATATATCACCGAAAAAAAAGACGTACACAAATGCATCACTGAAATAACAGGAAAAGTAGCGATATACATCGGCAACTTTGGCCCGTCCCGTACATTAAGAAACGTACGAATTTCACCTATGTTTGACCCCGACGGAATTAAAACCTGAATCTGGGGTTAAAATTAATGTCATTTTCGTCATCAGCACCCTTAAAAACATCAGAAACAATGCAAAAACTCGAATATAAAGAATGTTCAAAAAATACCCCGCTGGGATTTGAACCCGGGTCCGAACTTCTCCGATTCGCTCGAAACTGGCACCATTGGTTTTTTCTCGTCGCCCCGATTCCAAAAATACCCCTACATGCCCTCCTAGCTGCATCCGTTGCCGAGATCCTCCTCGACCCCATGTAAACCATGATGCACCTGCAGCAGCACCCCCGGGGCTCGGATCGGATTTGCTGCCACCGGGCGGTTCTTAGGGTCACCCAAGGAGGCTCCATACCAAATTTGGTCAAGATCGGACCACGGGAAGTCCTCGGACGAACGGACGGACGGACGGACGGACGGACGCACAGCAGGGATCATACTATATGCCCGTCCCTCCGTCTTCTTTTTTTACAAAAAATGAACGGGACGGGCCAAAAAGGGTCATACTTCCCCAGGAAATCAAGGGTCAATCTGGCTGATGTCTCACCTTTTTTTTCGGTGATACATTTGTGAACTACCTTTTTTTTCGGTAATACATTCGTGCACGACCTTTCTTTCGGTGATACACCTCCTGGAACGCTTTTAAAACATGGTGCACCAAGACATTTTTTACCGTAACTGATAAAATGTTTGCCCTTGAGACTATCTTGAAGCTTCGAGACTTTCTCGTGGAAAAATATTTTGACGTTGTGGGGCACCATTTAAACCAGAGAGGAGCGAAATCGCCGATGGTCTACTTCGAACGGCGCTGGTATGCTCAAATCTCCAGCGAAAATAGTGAAACTATGCTACTTTGAGAGCCCGTAGCGTCGAAACCCGACGTCGTAGGGCCTCGTACGAAACGCCTTTCGAAAGAGCGTTCTATTTTGTACAAGATAAACCTAATGGGTGACTTTTTTGACCAGCCGGTCCCACCAACCCAACAAGTCCCAAACCCTAAAAAACAGCCATTTTGCGGGTTTCCGACCCTTAAATAATCCGGAGTTCGAGTCGGATCTCGCTCCCATGGTGTTTCGGCAGTCCGTATTATGGAAGGAACCCAGAAATAACCTACAATAACACAGAAGTATCATTAATTTGACAGAAACGACGGCGCACATAACGGTGCACAATATGTTTGAAATAGTATTGACCTGAAATGAAATTTCAATTATGCACTCTTAAAAGCCTACGAAGCATTTGCTTCATAACTACAAAGAAAATGAAGGCATTGTAGAATAGCTTCATATTATGAAGGATTTTGCCTCGTAATACGAAGCATTTCTTCGTAGATTTTACAATGCCTTTATTTTCTTCGTATTACAAAGCGGTTCTTCGTAGAGTTTTTACTGGGTGTAACTACTACGGTTTCGCAAATGTTCGCTACTTACCTCAGTTCCTCCCTATTCATCATCCTTGGTAGCACCTAGACTGGAGTCAACTTCCGGGTGCCGCACGTCACGTACGGCGCCATGTTTGGACCCGCCGCTTTCAAAATCAAACGAATGGACACCCTGTGCATCCTTGTGCGCGTTAGTGACGTCGATTGGAGTGACTTCCGGTTGCCTGAGGTCACTTCCGGTACCACGACTGGTCTCGCCGGCCTCGAAAACATATATATAGACACCTCGCATGGCTCTGTTTTCGTTCAAAGCGTTGAACAGCAAGAAGTCGGCCATTTTTTTTAAAATGGCGGATTTTGACCGACTTCCGGTTGTCGGAATGCATTTCCGGGATCATATTTGGATTCCTTGGGTCAAAATTATCCGGAATCGACACCCAGTTTGGATCTGTAGCTAAAATTAGGTCCGTTCGAAATTTTAACGTTAAATTTCCCCCACCCCCCTAAAAAATCTACCCTAAGGGACAAAATTGAGTGTTACATGGATCAAATCGACCAAATGGGTCTTGGAACAAGTGTGCCAAGTGGCACCTTAGTATCACGATTTGCAGTTTAGTTTTGCCTACCGCTAGCACTACTGGACTAGTGCCCTTGTTTCTGGTGATTTACATAAACTTCGAATTAATTTTTATGCTTTCCTTCGTCAAAAAGTGAAGTCTTAAAATTCGGACATTGCGAGGTCCTAAATATCAGGTCTTCAATAGATCCTCATCCAACCTGCCCTGTCTGAAATTTTGGACTTCCCTTGACATGAATTTTGAGACAAGTACTAATATTCAGACCAAGTACGGTTTCAGACTGCCTTGTCTGACCTTAGAGACAAGCGTTTTGAAAGCTCATGAAAAGGCATGAATTGGTGCGCCATAACGTCAAGTCTGAAAAAGTTGTCCGAATTCCCGAATAAACAAAGCTACTGTTTACAGAGCGCACATGGTACTCAATGCCGAAAAAGGAGGATGTGAAACCTTTGAAATGTTGCAATGTCACCCTGCCCACTTTCCAAAAATAAAAGCGAAACATCAGCAACTGTTGAAACTGGATTACCACTTAAAAATCGAAATGGAGTTTACATACGCGCACGCTACGCCACGCAGCCAACGGAAAAGTATGTTAATCGTAGAAGACCTTAGAGGGTTTTTGGCCCGCCCTTCTATTCAAAAAATAGGGGGAGGGCCTATGCATTTGCCTTTGTGTCTGTGTGTTGTTGTTGTTGTTGTTGTTGTTGGCGTCTGTGTACAAGGAAGGAGTTGAGCTAGAGTAACCAGATTTGGAGGGTACTTCAGGAATACCGTCCAAACAAATAATCCGGTGGTGCAAATCCCGTCCGGGTCGCACAAGGGCTGCTGCAGGTGCATCATGGTTTACATGAGCGGGAGGGGGATTTCCGCCATTATTGGTGCTAGCAGGGCACATAGGGGTATTTTTGGAATCGGGGCGACGAGACAAGATGAATGGACCTGGTCCCGACCCCATCGGCCGCTTTTACAAGTTGGCCAGCTCAGGATCTTCAAAAAAGGGGGTCGACCGACTAAAAAAATTTATTGCAGATTTCGATTGGTCTCAGCAAGACCTTTTCAACGAGGGGTCGGAAAGGGGGTCCAGGAGCCCGACTTCGTCTTTTAGTCACATCAGGATCTTGAAAAAAGGGGGTCGACCGACTGAAAATTTTTACTTAAGTTTTCGATAGGTCTTGGCAAGACCTCTTCAACGAGGGGTCGGAAGGGGGGTCCAGGAGCCCGCCTTCATGAGTTATGGGAAAAAGTGCGACGGACTCGTTTTGTTCTCCTGCTGTGCCTCTATTGCAAGGAGTTGCGGTAGCATGGCAAACAAATATGGGTATTTTCGGAATGAGGGCGAAGAGACAAATGAAATGGGCATATTCTAAGGACAGTTGAAGAAAAAAGTGTAAGGACTATTGCATATTGTGAATAGAAGGGCGGGCCTAAGTCACGATGGTACATCGAGAACTTTGCTTTACCCGCTCACGGTGTGTGTGATGCGAGCCGGCCGAAGGCCCGGGCCTTCGACTGGCCAAGTTGGGTCTGATGCGAGGGCTGAAGGCCCGAGAAAAGCCCGCCGGCAGGCCAAGCTGGGCCGGCCCCTTGTCGAACCGAGTTGCCGGCGCAGCGAAGCGGAGCTGGCAACTCGGTTCGACGGAAGGGCGGGCCCTAGCTTGTTAGAAGATTGAGTAGGTTTGCTCGGAAACAGTAAGAAATTTTCAACTTTTGAGATTTTTCTCAATTTTCCCATTAAATTTGGAATCGAATGGAAAAAACCGCAGGGCTCTACGACCACTCCTTGACCCCAAACATTTCTATGAGTGAGTGAGTGAGTGAGTCAGTCAGTGAGTCAGTCAGTCGGATTGGGGCTATATAGGTTCTTGATTGATGAGTGAGGGAGTCAGTCAGTCGGATTTTGGGGCTTTATAGGGGCTTGATGACAATTGATGATTGATTTTGAGTATGTTGCCGGTGACGGGGACCCGATTGCGGCACAGTTTCGGAAATGTCTCGACCAGACCTACCGATGGGGCGTATAAAAATTTTTAGTCGGTCGGTCCCCTTTTTGACCCGCCCTTCTATTCTAAAAATAGGGGGAGGGCCTATGCATTTGCGTCTGTGTGTTGTTGTTGTTGTTGTTGTTGGCGTCTGTGTACAAGGAAGGAGTTGAGCTAGAGTAACCAGATTTGGAGGGTACTTCAGGAGTACCGTCCAAACAAATAATCCGGTGGTGCAAATCCCGTCCGGGTCGCACAAGGGCTGCTGCAGGTGCATCATGGTTTACATGAGCGGGAGGGGGATTTCCGCCATTATTGGTGCTAGCAGGGCACATACGGGTATTTTTGGAATCGGGGCGACGAGACAAGATGAATGGACCTGGTCCCGACCCCATCGGCCGCTTTTACAAGTTGGCCAGATCAGGATCTTCAAAAAAGGGGGTCGACCGACTAAAAAAATTTATTGCAGATTTCGATTGGTCTCAGCAAGACCTTTTCAACGAGGGGTCGGAAAGGGGGTCCAGGAGCCCGACTTCGTCTATTAGTCACATCAGGATCTTGAAAAAAGGCGGTCGACCGACTGAAAATTTTTGCTTAAGTTTTGGATAGGTCTTGGCAAGACCTCTTCAACGAGGGGTCGGAAGGGGGGTCCAGGAGCCCGCCTTCATGAGTTATGGGAAAAAGTGCGACGGACTCGTTTTGCGCTCCTGCTGTGCCTCTATTGCAGGGAGTTGCAGTAGCATGGCAAATATGGGTATTTTCGGAATGAGGGCGAAGAGACAAATGAAATGGGCATATTCTAAGGACAGTTGGAGTAAAAAGTGTAAGGACTATTGCATATTGTGAATAGAAGGGCGGGCCTAAGTCACGATGGTACATCGATAACTTTGCTTTACCCGCTCACGGTGTGTGTGATGCGAGCGGGCCGAAGGCCAAGTTGGGTCTGATGCGAGGGCCGAAGGCCCGAGGAAAGGCCGCCGGCAGGCCAAGCTGGGCCGGCCCCCTGTCGAACCGAGTTGCCGGTGCAGCGTAGCGGAGCTGGCAACTCGGTTCGACGGAAGGGCGGGCCCTAGCTTGTTATTTATTCACTTCACATTTGATCCTAGTTATCCCTATACTCGCTGAAGGGTAATTCCACGCCCAACCATCGCACCCCCCGAAATCGACGGTGATGGAATTGGCCAATATAGGTGTCAATCCACTCAGGATGACCTCTTGAGTCACCCTGCAAAATATTTTGGTCCAACTCCAAACCGTTCAGATTTTATAGCGATTTGAAATTTTTGTCAACTTTGAATGTCGCAACTTTTGTCCACAGAGCATCTGTGGTCACATAGTGACCAGCCAGGTTTCATTGTCTTCACAAAAGACTACTCTATCCATAAGAAATTTTTTTTTGAAAAAAGTGAAAAACTTGGAAAATATTAAGAAAAATCAATGAAAATTTCACAAATATGGATGTATAAAAAAAAGCTGGTCCTTCGATTTTGACGATACTTGTTTCAAAAGTCACTTATCCTTAGTCGAACAAGCCCACAAAATTTCAACTCCGGCCCAGCTTCCTAACTATGGATCGGTCCACGTTTTATACTTTTGGGGCTAAATTTGGTATCGAAACTTGGACGGCATGAACCAAGAGTGCATGTTTTCACTTTTAAGATAACTTCTGAGCTTCAGATTGACCCCCAAACATCAATTCAAATCAGACACTCCAGGTCCAGAGATATATTTTTGTGTGTTTTAACTTCAACGTCGAGATTTTGGGTTAACGAGTAAAATTATGCTTGCGCAGACCATTTCCACCACATGAAAATAACGTCTGAGTATTCCCCTTACTTCATTTTACTCACCTGATGAAGAATTCAACACATTAGCCAATTGATTCTATCAGTTCTTTATCAGGAGAAACTCCCTGACTGATATAGGAGCTCACATATCATGGCCCACACCACAATAAACAAGAAAATCTTAACATTTGAGACAAAAGTTGTCCTGAGCACTACACTTTACTTTTCGAATCGTCTGCTCTGAAATTCGAAGGGTGAGACATCTCACCAATTTTCGGCGATACAAAATGTATCACCGAAAAAATGGTCGTACACGCATGTATCACCGAAAAAATGGTCGTACACGCATGTATCACCGAAAAAACGGTGAGACATCAGCGAGATTGGCCCTTGTTTTCCTGGGGAAGTATCACCCTTTTTTCGGTGATACATTTGTGTACGACCTTTTTTTCGGTGATACATGCGTGTACGACCATGTTTTCGGTGATACATGCGTGTACGACTATTTTTTCGGTGATACATTTTAGTATCACCATTTTTTCGGTGAGACAGGTATGTCTCATCCCTCAGAGAGTGAGATGTATCACTATTTGATTTTCAGTGTGCTTGTACTGCTCCAATCCCAGGTATGAGAAGTTGATAGTGCAGCAGAAAGTTCCCAAAAAATTTTGCAGGGTGACTCAAGAGGTCATCCTGAGTGGATTGACACCTATGGTCAATTCCATCACCGTCGATTTCGGGGGGTGCGATGGTCTGGCGTGGAATTACCCTTAAGTGAGTAACGTAGAGAATAGACGCCCCCTTTTATGTCTGACAAACCAGTTGGTAACCTACCGGTGGAAAAGGGCAGTCCCTAGTCGGATCGTTGAATACCATCATCATGCCTTTTCTCCATACGTTCGGAAAAAAAGTCTTAATAGTGGTGCAGAGTCGTGAGGTACTTTTCTGAAAGGCGTTGTCCTTCCAGCCTCCTCTTGAGCTCCAGGAAGCAAGGTTGAATGTTGCCTAAGTCAACACTCTGAATGAAAGCCATGTCTTACGCTGTTGAGTACGGAGAATGTACAGACGAATTACCGTGTAATTGTCATCAGCGGTGATAAACGTAGTGATATTGCCGGAATAGTACCACACGTCTGTGTTTCTCCTGTCTCGGAAACCTGAGTAGTAACCTTTGAAAAATTCCGTTTTTGGTCTCATTTCGGGTGGGCAGTCTTCCATGTAACCCGGTACGACTCGGAAAGGGCCCTGAAAAGTAACAAATCACCTATAGTCCAATCTGACGCTCCTCTCCATTGCACCCCGGAGATCACGTGACCTCCAGTACTGTCTCCTCAAACATTACGTCTTAATGGTCAGTTGGGACACAGAGAAAATACACAGAGAGAAAATTGCAACCCTTGTGGTGCTAATATCTTGCGTCTTGAGCCATACCATGGCCAGTTATTTCAAATGAACATAAAAATCTGAGAGTGAACTCCCTGTTAAATCGATGTTGAGATTTGCAGCAGGGCATAAAGAGAAGTCAGACTTTTGGCGTCAAAAACTTGATTGTTGCTCACCTTTTCAATCCAATATCCAACAACAATAGTCTTTTATTTACTTTGTTTTCAGGAGTGTGATTTACAACGCAATGAGGGTAAGTAAGAGATTCGAAAGCACTGGGCATTGCTTTTCTTACCCTGTACTTCTTACCCTGTCTTCTAAGTCGCACTGAAAACAATGTAAATTAAAGACAATTGGTGTTGCATATTGGATTGAGGGTGATCAACAATCAAGTTTTTGACGCCATTAGTCAGACTTCGGCGTGTGGAAAAAACGTACCCCAATCGTCCACTATCATGTTACATAATGGGCACGTCAGTTGCGGTACTTACGGCTATCTGCATCTGCGCAGTGCACTTGATTATCATTACTATGGTTGTGGCCAACAGGAGCTGGACGAGCCGCGCAGGGAGAGACATGGTCCCCATGGGAATGAGCATTCAGACTGTGTGGACCATTTCTTTCTTTCGTGGTGTGCGGTCGCGCGTGCATGTTTCTTCGTGTTACGGTGTCGCGTAATAGACCGCTGCTCGGGACGCTCACCTCGCCTTTGCTAAATAAAAAATACACGTGAAGTGACGACCTTACAATGCTCACGGTCCAAAGTGAAGTGGGATGACCTTGCGATAAGTACAACACGATGGGTCCTATGAACAAAGACCGCTACGCTTTGCTCCGGTTGAACAAAGACTCCGGTATGCCTTTTGGCCGCTTCTCCCACTCCCATTTGTAACGCGTATATCAACCAACGTAAGGTAAAAAATCAATTGTGGGTCACGAATCAATTGTGGGTCATTTTTTTCGACGGGTCACCGCAGACCCGACGGAGATTGAATCGATTTGAATTTCGTGGTAGACCTTCCTCCAACCTTTCTTTGTCTTTCCAAATAGCGTGCATGTCCGAGCGATGACTGTAACGGCTCCTATCAGGCTTCAAAGGAAGGCCCTCCATAATGTCGTGAAAATAGCGCCCATCCAACGAGGCGATAAATCGTATGTTTTTCAAATTGCCACCGTGAAGCTATTACGAGATAAAACGGGACGCCCTTGCTGATTTTGGTACATAGTAGGTCAGGGAACATAATTTTACCATAGTACAGCCGAAATCATTCGATGCCATGGTGCGCGGGTGATGGCAAAGTAGCGTTCGCTTCCATGTCAGAACCATTATTTTAACCGAATTTTCCGGTAGTTTTTCTGCTATTTTTTTTGTTTTCTGCGCTTCTGAATGACTGATGTATCCCAGTAAATTCCATTTTTCTGCTCTGTCACATTTAGTATTACGATACGAAGGTTATGTTAAGCTACAGCCCCGAATGACAACACTAGCTTATACTTCCAGTCTGCCATCAGGCTTTTTTGTTGGGGAGGGGGGGGGGCGCATTTCGGGGCTTACATACCTCCCGGAATGGAACCGCTCTCCAACTGCGGGCTAGGCACCCGAGGCCAGTCCGGCCCTGTTATAAGGAGTCAAATCAATCCCTACAGACTATATATTCTGACTGAAATAGATAAAAAACTGTAGCAATACCTCATGATGACAGGGTGTGGTGTTGGATTGTCTACCACACCGGCGGCCCTACAATACGCACTAAAAAAGTTCCGTGTCTAATCCAGGACGTTAAACTCACATCTGTCTCACAGTGAAGTTAGCCTGTTTATGTATTTTTCCTTTTTGAGTGAAAAACGTGTCTGCTTGGTTTATTGAGAACCAGGGACCTTTAATAAATGAAGATAAGAAAATATCTTGCAAAAGTGGTCAATTTACAAGCAAAAAGACGAAATGGCCCACAATTGATATGACCCACAATTGATTCATTGTGCTACAGATCCTGCAGTTTTCACGATTCCGAAAAATGAATTCAGAAGTGAATTTCTCTCGTATTTAAGCAAATCATATCCAAATTTGAGCTTCCTACAATGCTGACCCACAACTGGTTCCAAAAATCAATTGTGGGCCAAAACAGACTACTTTTAAAACAGCCACAGCTTAGTAAATAAGGATGATAGACAGGGCTACTATGCTGCAAAACTTAGGCCAAGGACCATAGTTAAAGGCCGCACATGCACTTTTGTCACCAGGTCAGAATTAAAGGCCTTAATTTGGAATTTTCAAAAATGTGACCCACAATTGATTTTTCACCTTAAAAGGAACGCTGCCAATCGAAATTTTCTGATACTTAAAAGTTTCACGCACCAAATGAGCACATTATCATCGTGCATCTATAAGAACTTCTATGGAAAGTAACTAAGATGAAATGAGAAGTCGACGTAACCCGAAATGCACGTCGGTCTTTGTTAAACCGGTCTTAGTTCAACCAATGTCCCCCGCCCTCCAGGACCACATATTTTCTACGGCGGTGGGCCGCACACTCTCATCCCAAGAACGTTTCATCACGTTGAAATGAATGTGACAAAATGTCACGTTGCTTTGGGCATTGTCACATGCGCTTGGACGTGAATCAGCCATACGTTGAAACGAATGAGACACAATGCTCAAAGGAATGTGACATTCTGTCATACTCGTTTCAACGTGATGTCACGCTCCTGGAGTGAGAGTGCAAGAGCAGGTCTAGTCTACGCATGGAATCAAAATTATCCTGTAAGCTTTATTTCTTTTTTCCAGAAGCTGGCTGCCTCAAAATGTCGTGCTGGTGGACGACGGGTGTCCTGGCCGTCCTCGCCAGCTGCTTCCCGGCTTCGGCTTCCCTCAGCAAGCCCAGCATCGGAAAGGTACACTGTACTCAGAGGTGCTCTAAACGCACTAAATTCATGTGGACTTTTTAACCCAACTGTTTTAACCCACGTCCTGTGTACTCTAACCTAGAGCACGTTTCAAACGTTACAATTTTATTTTTATTTTTATTGTAGGAATATTTTTTTTTGTATTTAACAAGAAAAACAATTTTTCTTGATGTGTTCCTTGCAGGTGGTGGCGAGCTGGGGCTACAACTTGGACGCGCTGGACGTTGCCACGCCGGACGGCTACATCCTCACCGTGCACCGCCTCTCTGCGCCCAAGGCCCGCAACGCCAGTGGCCACTTCACCCCGATTCTAATCGGCCACGGGCTCCTTGGCAACAGCGAGCAGTGGCTTCTGCGGTCGGACCAGAATCTGGGTGGGTCGCAACGCTGCCAGCGCCAGCAAAATTTCCTGCTCTCTCTGGCAGACGAAGAACTTTATGCCTACTTGGGCAAAGTAACCATTTTCTCCTACCCTTTAGGCGTCTTTATACGTGCTGGCCGAGGGAGAGGGGGCGCTTAATACACACCTCTCACGGCGTGCGGTTTCATGTGGGCCTGGGCCTTATCAATTAATGGAAAATAACGGGGATTTTATCACCTTTTGCTAACTTTAAAGGCAAAGTTGGTGGCTTTCTACAAATCGAAAAGCGTACAGTATGCTCTACCTGAAGTATGCCGACAAGCATGCTCTTGCTAGTGAATGCCTACCAAGCACGTACTTACCAGTGCATACATGCCAGGTACACAGTTAAATGCACGGTAAAAACGGTACCTGGTTTTCCCAGGAAGCCTATGACAGAGGCATAGGTGATTTCCTGGGAGTTCCTGGGAAAACCAGGAACCGTTTCTACCGAGTGAAGCATACATCTAGGGATAGGGAGTTGTTTGCATCAGGAAGCGTGTACGGCAAGTATGGACTAGTAAGTGCATGCTTGGCAGGCATGCGCAAGGGGAAATAACTCCTGAAAATTTGTACACCGAAATTCAAAATTCATGAATTTCAAGCCGAAATTCATTGAAATTCATCGAAATTCATTGAAATTCATTGAAATTCACGAAATTCATTGAAATTCATGAATTTCGGTCTAAAATTCATCGAAATTCATTGAAATTCATGAATTTCGGTCCGAAATTCATTGAAATTCATCGAAATTCATGAATTGCGGTCTGAAATTCGTTGAAATTCATGATATTTGATCCGGAATTCAAGAAACCACGTGAATTATGGTCCAAAAGTAATTAAGATTCATTTAAATGGATAAAAGTATATCAATTGATACAAAAACTAAATAATAGTTGTACAAAACGTGGAAGTGCATTGAAAAACAATCATTTTCATGCAATTTTCTTGTAATTTAATGCGGTAAGAGCTCTCCGGTGTGCGCGCTTAGGCTGAAGCAGCCTGGCTTCTAATACCGTCGGAAGCATTCGATTTTTCTCGGTCTAGATTTGGTCTACATGACCGTCTACAGACCTAAGCAACCCCGTCTAGCATTGAGTGGCCGTTGCGGCTGGAAGGCCCTGAAAAAATTACCGCCGCGGTAATTAGGCAAGGTCAAGGAGCCCTGCCGAGGGAAGGAATGGGAGGGGGGAGGGGGAGAGGGGAGGGGGCAGCCGGGGCGGCGACCTGCATCCTTGGGCCGAGAAGCCTCCCTCGCCCGCCACGCCGTCAGGATATTGGGACCTCAGCTGCCCTCAAAATTGGCCTAGAAATTCATTCGAACATGTTTCTGAAGCAGTGAAAGGAATGGAAGACGAATTTGAAATTTTCAGATTTGTAATATAAAGCAAAATATTAGATCACTGGGGTGAGCCACTTGTGAACAAAGACTATTCATCCCAAAGACCCCTCATTGAAAAACGCCATTGTCGTCTGTTTTCTCTCTTCCCCGCCCGAGACCCCCCCGAGAGTGAGCCAGTGTGCGTGTGTGTGTGAATGTGTGTTGGTGCGAGGGTCGGCCTGCCTGCCGCGGTGCACTCCTCCTATTGTCTCCAATTTTAACTTCTGTCGCTTTCAATTTTTCAACACTTTAAGCGCCATATTCTGCTTCCTCATGTCCACGCGGTTAACGCCATATTTTATTTTTGGATTTTGTGATATTTTTGAGTTTTAACCCAATTTGATTACGGAATTATAGAACCACATTTTCTTGTGTATCTCCCGAAGGCCTAGACCTAGAACTGAATTTCAAAACTGCTCCTGTACATCTTTTCATGGCGCATTGAACGAGCTCCTTTATTTTACTCTTAGACTTCTAGAAGCGAATTTACATTTTGCAGCCAGAGGCAATTGTCCTTGGGGGGCCAAGACCGCTCCTCTCTCGGCCGACCCGGACTACCTGGTTGGGTCTCGCCCGCAACCCACACTGCCGGATGGCTGCACTTTTCAATGGAGAATCGGGCGCCCTTTCCCTTGCGTTGGTTCAACTGAGCTTGTCGCGCACTCGTGAAAACTCAGAGGGCTTCCCCATTCGGTTACAAAGTGTGTGTATATTTGTGACTAGAGACCGGCACTGCCGCTCGTGGCGAGCCGGCCCGGCTCGGCAACCGAGTCTCTGTGCGAGAGAGAGGTCCGAGAAAGCCGAAGCCGAGTATTGCCGAACCCGCCGGTGCAAACGGGGCTCGTCTGAGCCGTGGCCGCCCGCGCCTCGTCGCCTAGCTTGGCGGCCTTGCGCGCGCTGGGGGAGACAGACACGTTCGCAGCTCCCAGCACAGCTCCCCGGCCGACTGCCGACCGACTCCGCACAGAGCCTCGTCGCTCTGTCTCTCTCGCACTTATGCGGGCCGCCCCATGAGTGCGACAGAGACGGAGCGACGAAGGTGATATGCGGAGTCGCTCTGCAGGCCAGCGGCAACGAAGTCTCACACCGAAATTCCTCAATTTTGTGATGAAATTCATGAATGTTGTTGTGAAATTCATGAATTTTGCAGTGAAATTCAATGAAATTCATCAAATTCATCGAATTTATCGAAATTCATCGAAATTCATCGAAATTCATCGAAATTCATTGAAATTCATTGAAATTCACTGAAATTCACCGAAATTCATGCGAAATTCAAAATTTTGTACACCGAAATTCAAAGTTATTTCCCCTTGGGCATGCGCTAGTTAGAGCGTCCTTGCAGGCATGCTCCAGCATAAAATGTACGCTTTTCTAGTTGGCTGAGCGATAGCGAAGCCCGTTACTCCAGTGCGGTTGAAAAGTTTTGTCTGTCTGTCTGTCTGTGTGTGTGTCTGTGTGTGTGTGTGTGTACACTACTCCTCCTGAACGGCTCGGCCGATCTGGCTGAGATTTTGCAGGCTTATTAGATATGTTCTTGGCTCGGCACACGCGAAATTTCACGATCGTACCTCAACTGGTTCAGTTTTTATAGCCGAAAAACACCTAAAAAACGGCGAAAAATCGAGTTTTCTGCTGGTAGATCACCTCTGTCTTGAAGAAAGGGGGGTCTGGGGGGCGGAGCCCCCCAGCCACGACAAGTTAAAAAGTGACAACGGTCAAGATCGTGTTATCTTTAGATGAAGCAACTCTATCTAGAATTAAGGGGGGTCTGAGCCCCCCAGCATGCAACACGTAAGAAGTATCCGACAATGGACAAGCCAATGCCTGCCGAAGGCAGGCTAGCGCCGCAGGCCAAGGTAGGTACGCCAGGCGCGGATTGGAGGAACTGGCCGCGAGACATCGCGAAGCCTGTTACGACAAGACGCGGTCTGGCGTAAACCTACCTTGTATTTGTACAGCAGTTACGCACAACTGGTTCCCGGAGAGTGCTGAATGTAATGTACGTGCTGTTCGCAGCTGTCCAGCTGGTGGACCGCGGCTTTGACGTATGGCTGTCTAACTTCAGAGGAACCAGCTATGGACTCAGACATAAGTCTCTCAGCATCAAGTCGCACAAGTTTTGGGACTTCAGGTGAGTCAAAAACTTGTCAGTATGAAGAGATCGTTCGCACATAATGCTAGAGTCATGTTTCTACCATGGTCCAGGAGCGGGTTTCGGCTGATAAGGGATCGTTTAATCTTTGTCTTACAAATACTAAGACGAAACTCAAGCATTGTACGCTTTAAAATTGCGACACTGGAAATGAAGTAAAGAGGAAAAAATGGCCTATGCATTTAGATACACACTAAATTCTTATGGATTTTTTAAATGCATAATCATACATTTTTAGGCATAGTGATGCACGCGTCAAATGTAAGGGAGGGTGGGGCACCATGACCACCCCCCTCGCTCTCGGGGACTACTTTGCCGACGGCAACCGGTCGACCGGACTTCCGAGAGAATAGGATTCTAACTATTTTCAGCCAGAGTCCTACCTTCTAGCTTCAAGGGTACGACCAAAGCACCTCGCCAAAATTCTTGTTACAGCGTTTTGGCTAAATTGGGCGTATTTAAAATCTGGGGTATTTTTTCTCATTCTCACATTTGAGGAAATAAGTTCGATGTCCTAGGTTTTTTTCAATATGTCGGCTCTCCGGCGAAGTATCCATTATCACATTTAATTTTAAAAAGCTTTTTTCTTGCTCGGGGAGCCTTAGAGTCGTAAACTGCACTGTGGAGAGCCATGACCACTTTTTAGTGGGGCACCATGAGTTGACTGGCCTGATGGTAACAACAGCGATATAAACAATTTCAATGAGAATACTGGTAGAAAGTACACTTTTTGGGCCAAAAAATTACCATGGTCATGGTGCCCCACGGGGTGGTCATGGTACCCCATAGGTGGGGCGCCATGACCACTTTGCGTTTTATTTTCCAAAGTGTTCTGTGAGCCTGCCGTGCATTGCAGACAAGTTCCAATGGGTGGAAGAGGTCCTTGGAGGTCCAAAAAATCCCCTCATGCTGGAAACTTAACTTTTCGAACCACACGGTGGAGTAGAGGGAGGCACCAAAACAAGTGGTCATGGTTCCCCACCCTCCCTTACACAGTGATGCAATATTATACATACCTTATGGACCTATCTGCAGATAGGTCCATAACGAGGGGGAAATCACTCGCGTAAATCACTCGCGTCGGGTCACCGATTCCGAGTATTACGCGTAATAGTAATAGCGTAATAGCCAAATTTTTTAAAGTTTTCCCTATTTAGGGTCCGATTTTGGCCTAATATGGATAATTTCGAGCGTAATAAGCCTTACGTAATAGCGTGATAGAACGTAATAGGGAGTAGTCGGGTCACAGTTTTTAAGAGTGATTTCCCCCTCGGTCGATAAGGTATGTATAATTTGGCATCATTGCGTACATTTGACGCATCTTCTTGCATAATATGTACACAGTGATGCATAATAATTGTACATACCTTGTGGACGTATCTGCGCGTGCATTACTATGCATAAAAAAGGTCCATAAGAATTAAGTGTGCAGAAGAAATCAGAACAGAGGAACATTTTGGGCTTGTACGGAGGATTTCAATTGGCTGAAGTTAATTTCATCAGAATGCACGAACCTTCAAGTTTCAAAGAAACAACTCTGAAAAGTCAACTATGTGCTGAGCACACTCTGTTCGGCGTGACACACAAGTACACTCCGACGAGAGTGTACTCAGATGAGTACACAGTACACTCCAAAGGAGTGTGCTTAGATGAGTACACTCTGACGAGAGTGTGCTTAGAACCTGGAAATATACGCACACTCTACCAAAATGTCTTGTAAATGCTGTTAATTTATTACCAATTTTCACTGTAGGTCAATTCACAGCGTTTACTGTGATCTGCTCACACGATTCACTGTGATCTTGTTCGCGGTGTTCACTGTGATCTGGTCCCCAGTAAACACTGTGAGTTTGACGCCGCTGCGCACCGAAGTACTGCAAATCAGGCTCCAATTCACGGCGTTTACTGTGGCCAGATCACAGTGAACACTGTGACCGAGATCACAGTGAACGCCGCACAGTGGGGCGAAAACGGAAAAAGTCGCACGAAATTATTTTCTTCACCAAATTTTTTGTACAGTGTATTTAGGGGTCGCTGAATTCATTTCTGACGAAATTTGAACGTGAAAGGCACCCTAAGAGGCGGAGCCAGGTGCGTGAAGGGGGGTAAAACGAACCTTATTGCTGAATTCTCGCAAAACTTTGGATTTGAGGGTTTCATTGGTAGTGAAAATCATTTCTGAGGAGATAAGAAGACAAAAGATATACCCAGGAGACGACCAAACGTGCCTCTTGTGCCGCCTATTGATACTGGCTGCACCCGAGGCCTGCGTAACGATGCATGTCTTGGCGTAACAGTATGATCACGGAAGTTGTTGTATCACTATCGGTGGCAGCCCAAAACGATGTCTGGTGTGGGACAGTGTCTGACAGAGCTGGTTGGAGTAGCCAGCGCGCATAGCGCCTCTGCCTTCCTCTCCCGAGGGCGCGGCGCGGTGGCGGCGGCGTGGCGCGGCGAGACGAAGTCGCATGTTTGACTTTGATTTGAAGGAAAACGGCATCGAACGGCATCGCCGGACGAAATGGACATGAAAGTGGGGTCACCATACTATCTCACCACGGTGCCCGACCGGTTCGCAAATGTTCGCAACTCGACTTATCCCTCGTCAAAAAAGTCGCAGACGACGATTTTAGCAAACATTTGAAGACCCGCAGTTTCCACACTTTTCGTTTGAAACCAATTTCAATGAATGGACTGGACTGCTTGATTTTTTGCCTTTCCAAAAACATATAAAACATGTTATTTTGCTCTACAACAGCGATAGGAGTGGCCTTTCTTACGCGACCCCCGCCAAATGTATCATTTTCTCGCGAAATTGCTCTACTTTGAGGTCGCTAAACGGCAAGTAGTAGTTATTTGAGGTGCAAAAAATGTTCGTAACTGTATAGAATGGTCCTTTCTGAGTTCAAAAACGTCGGTCCCATCCCTGTAGGACAAAAACGGCGAAATCGGACTTACGTGCGACTTTTTCCGGTTTCGCCCCACTGTGCGCCGTAACGCCGTGAATTGCATAACAGCAAACATTGGTAATTGGCTGAGCGATAGCAAAGCCTGTTACTCAGGTGGGGTTGAAAAATTTTTCCTGTCTGCGTGCGTGTGTGTGTGTGTGTGTGTGTCCGCGCTACTCCTCCTGAACGGCTCGGCCGATCTCGGTGAGATTTTGCACGCTTTTTGGGTATGTCCTTGGCTCAGCACACGCGAAATTTCACTATCCTAGCTCAACTGGTTCGGTTTTTATAGCCGAAAAACACCTAAAAAACGGCGAAAAATCGAGTTTTCTGCAGGCAGATCACTTCTGTATTGAGGAAAGGGGGGTCTGGGCCCCAGCCTCGACAAGTTAAAAAGTCAGGCCAATGCAGCCCTAGGCACGAAATCAAATGCTGCTTTGACCTTCAATCACGCAAATTGGTATGCGGATGCCTGGAAAAGAAACCTAGCCTGCCGAAGGCAGGCAAGCGCCGCAGGCCAAGGTAGGTGTAACGCCAGGCGTAGATTGTCGTAACTGGCGCAGCATCGCGAAGCCTGTTACGACAAGACACGGTCTGGCGTACACCTACCTTGTAAATTAACGGCGTTGACAGGACATTTTTTGTAGAGTGCAGTTGAGTACACGCTCGTGGGAGTGTGCTTGTGAGCACACGCTAATGAAAGTGTACTCGTGAGTACACGCTGAAGAGAGTGTACTCGTGAGTACACGCTAAAGAGAGTGTACAGAGTACACTGTTGAGTTTGCAGAGAACACTTGACTGGTTGCAGCTGGCACGAGAACGGGGTCATCGACCAGGCCGCCATGGTGGACTTCGTGTTGCAGACCACGGGTCGTCCTCGCCTTCTATCTTTGTCTTACTCCATGAGTTGCACCTCCACCATGGTGTTGCTGTCGGAGCGACCAGAGTACAATTCCAAGATAATGGGAAACGTATTCTTCGCACCGTCGGCCTTCTTCAGGCACCCGGCCGGCCTGTGGTTGTTCACCAAGTCAGCCATAGACAAGTGTCCTGGCCTTATTAAGGTATGCACGAGAGGGGCTTAAGGTGCACACTGTGTCATAAAAGTACGGAAAATTCTGTAATTTTTTCGCCCTCTGATCAGTATATTCTCCGTAAGGTCTTGGTCTTACGGTATTCTCCGCAGGACCGGACAGTATTCTCCCTAGGGCCTGGAAGACCGTATAGTCCCACGAAGAACAGAGTAGTGTAAGGTCCTACGGAGAAGACTGCACGGTTCTACGGAGAATATTGGCAAGGGGGCTACAGAGAATTACCACAAGCTGTTAACAGAATTTTCCGTAGCTTTTTGCCTCAGTGCACTGTAGCGACGGTGTTCTGGGATAATTTTGGAATACGGGGAAAAAGTGGAACAGCAGTTTCCTGGGCAAGACTTGACATTTTAGAATGGGTGTCAATGGGTTGGTTAGATTGCGCCTGTAGTAAATATTCAATTTTGGCACGGTGCCATTTCTCTGAGGGGGCAACTACTTGAAATATTTTTGTACACTGGATTCTTCTAAGGAAGAGATTTCGAGGTTTTTAACGAGATTTCACCAGATTTCGCTCAAGATTTCGTTCAGAATTTCGTTAACAGAATATCGGGACCGCATATTGCCCCCTCGATTTACTTGCTGTACCGGAACAGAGGTGCTGAACTCAATGTTACAGACTGTTTCGGTAATTGTGACAACACACGTGTGCCCATTAACATTCAGAAGAATGTGCCAGTGGTGCACTTCGACAAACATACGACTAGTCGTATGAGCTCATACTCGACACCTACGTACTCTGTGAACAGGATGCTACCGCACGCTACATTATCAACGACAAGATGCCATTTTCGGACGTGCCAGTGGACACCTTATGTTACGCAGCACAAAGCAGCAACGAACTCCAGCCAGTCTGCAAGATTTTCACCGAGTTTGCTGCAGGAAAACCAAAACCGCCAATTTCCAGTGTGCGTATAAGATTAGAAAACAATAAATTTTTCGATTCTTTTTTTTTTCATGTTTTGCCCTGCACATTAGTAATTGTGTACACAGTAGGCAAGAACCCTTCACGGCAAAACCCTGTCTACACTGGTAAAACAAAGGCCTAAAACTACGCCCTTTGGGACATAAACAGTCTTTTATGCCCTTCAAGGACGTAAATCGCTTAATGCCCTTGGGAAGGGCGTAAATTGTATATACGACTTTTAGGCAAAATGTAAATGTTCCTTCAAAGGCATAAACGATTCACGCCTTTCCAGGGCCTAGTTTTAATGCCTTTGTTTCACCAGTGTACCTGACACACACGGACAAAAAAAATGGTACTTACAACCCTTCACTAGCATGTCTTTGTAAGTGTGCACCAGGCAGATCGAAGTGTAGCATATTTGGTGAGATTTCCCTTTCATTGCAGAAGATGATGCGTGCGCTGCTAAGCCGATTCCCAGCTGGAGCATCTATCCGCCAAGTGACTCATTATGCCCAGAGCCTTATGTCAGGTACCTCTCATTTCCAACCTCCTGGCTTTCTCCGTGTTTCTTCCCTTCTGTTTTTCCTTCCATGATAGATGGGATGCCTTTCATGGGGTTTGAGGTTACTTTCAGAGTAAACCTAAATTATATCCCATTAAAGACTTGTTGTTTCCTAAGTTAAAGTGAAATTGTGTCTTTGTGCCCCGTCGCAGCAGCTGGGAGTAGGACGATATTGCGTAGTGGCTGCACTGCAAATGCAAGCAAAGGCGATACTAAAGTACATTTTTTGGCGATACAATTGAGTATCGCCAATACAAGGTAGGTTTACGCCAGACCGCGTCTTGTCGTAACAGGCTCCGCGATGTCTCGCTGCCTGTTCCTCCAATCCGCGCCTGGCGGACCTACCTTGGCCTGCGGCGCTAGCCTGCCTTCGGCAGGCTATGGCTTGCCCATCGTCGGTTACTTCTAAATTGTTGCATGCTGGGGGGCTCCGCCCCGCAGACCCCCCTTCATTCCAGATAGAGTTGCTTCATCCACAGATAACACGATCTTGACCCTTGTTACTTTTCAACTTGCCGGGGCTGGGGGGCTCTGCCCCCCTGACCCCCTTTCTTCAAGGCAGAAGATATTTGCCGGCAGAAAACTCGATTTTCGCCGTTTTTTAGGTGTTTTTCCACTGTGGCATAAAGCTACGGAAAATTCTGTAAACAGCTTGTGGTAATTATCCGTAGCCCCCTTGTCAATATTCTCTGTAGGCTCTTACAGTATTTTCCGTAGGACCGCACAGTATTCTGCGTAGGACCGCACAGTGATCTCCGTAGGACTAAACATTCTTCCACGTCCTACGGAAAAGACTGTGCGATCCTACGGAGAATACTGTGCGGCCCTACGGAGAATACTGTAAGAGCCTACGGAGAACATTGATAAGAGGGCTACGGAGATTCCTGGCAAAAAAATTAACAGAATTTTCCGTACCTTTTTGCTACAGTGTCGGCTATAAAAACTGAACCAGTTGAGCTAGGATAGTGAAATTTCGCGTGTGCCGAGCCAAGGACATACCCAAAAAGTGTGCAAAATCTCAGCCAGATCGGCCGAGCCGTTCAGGAGAAGTAGTGCTGACAGACAGACAGACAGACAAAACTTTTCAACCCCACCTGAGTAACGGGCTTCGCTATCGCTCAGCCAAAAAGGCCTTACGGAAAAGTATTGCCTTCAGAACGGCGATACACAGAAGTATCGCCAAAATTTGGCGATCCCGCGTGGGAGAATCTGCAGTCTGAATTGCACCCAAGAACTGAAGTCATACTTCACCTTGCAGTGAATAAGGATGGAAGTTAAGGTGTAACTCAATTGATCTTAAAGTGTTCATAAATCTGCTAGTTTGAAGTATGCATTGACTACAGTTTAACTGCAGATATACGACTGCAGCTCAAGTACAGTTGAAGCGCAGTTATTTGTAATTGAACTGCAGTTAAGTACACTTAACTGACATTCAACTGTACTCTGACTGCAAAAAAAATCTAGTACTTATTTCGGACGTTTCAGTTTTAACTACAGTTTTTTTGTCGGACAGTTCATAACAGTTCATAACATAAAAACTACAAATTTGAGTAAAAAATATAAAAAAAATCTCATTCAACGAACGTTAATGAAAGCAGATGATACTCGTTTGGTTTTCTTCTACGGGGTAGTATGGGCTCATTCCAAAGATAATATTTAAAAACTGAGTCCTTTGTGCCGTGGCCTGCACCGCCGCGCCATGAGACTAGGGCTTGGCCGCGCCGTGCCCGTTGGCCTCCTCTGCGCTGTAGCGGGGAGGGATTGTCAATGCTGCGCGCAGGCCGTCGCGCGCGAGGAGGGGGTGCCATTGTCGAATTCCGCGCAGGCTGCGCCGCAGCGACAGACTCATCAGCCCGCCCCGGCAGCCAGCCCCTATTATATTGTTAGGATACGCACTTGGTTTTTGGACTCTCGAGTAAAAGCTAGCTGACACCTTTATGTGTCTTGTAGTTGTAGATTTAGGTATGTTTTTGTAAAGGTATCATCTGCTAAAAATAGTGTCGAGAAAGGATGGGCCTCTACAGTCACGCCCTTCCTCTTCCCTCCTTTCCTTGTTTTGTCGTGTTAGTTTGTCAGTCTGATGAGTAGTCGAACCCGAGCGGCCGCGCTTGTCAGTCCGCAGCGCTGCCATCTGCGCCACGGAGACATCTGAGGGACACGGCCCAGTGCGGGCGATGCCACTGGCCGTGCCCGCGCGCTCAGGTAGACGAGGGATTTACCGCAACTCCCGCCCGGCGCGGGCCACTCCACGGGGAATTTTCACGTCATTTGTCCGGACATGCCGGTTTGGAAGCAGTGCGGAGCTTCACTTTGCAAAATTCATAGAGATTAAATCACTTTTAAGTGTCAGCGCTGAAGACATTCAGAGTGAAGATGGTAGTACACTTGAACTACTAGTGGGACAAACTCTAAGTGTAGTTTATGACTGCATCATGAATTGAGCCCGGGACTGTATATGCCATACACCAGTCTTTACTTTCCAAGTGTAAGTAAAGAGCAGTTGAGAACTGCATTTGATATCAACACTTTGCTTTTGTAAATGAAGCTAACTTGAAGTGCGGTTTTAACTTTCGGAATGACAGTGGACTGCAGTTGGATCTTACAACAGATGGCAGTTTAAGGACAGTTTTTGTCCACTTTAAATCATACAACTGACTGCAGCGGACGATACAAAACTGATTACGTTTTAAATACAAATAAAGGGAAGAAAAGAACTACAGAAACGGACTGCAGATGAACAACTGCAGTTTCATCTACAATTCAACTACAGATCCTTCCTACCCAAAAGTATGCTTTTGGGTATTGCCAAAACCACGGCATTCAACCAAGGTCTTCTCCCCTTGATTTGTTCGACGTTTATTGCCAAATCGTGGCAATACTCCCAAGTATTGCCAAATTTTGGCGTTTCTTTTGTGTATCGCCGTTTTGAAGGCAATACTTTTCCGTACGGCCGTTTATTGGCGATTCTCAACTGTATCGCCATAAAATGTACTATAAGTATTGCCTTTGGATTTACAGTGTGCTTACCTTGTTTTCTACTTTTGCAGCGGGAAGTTTTCGAAAGTATGATTTCGGAATGGCTAAAAATGAAAAATTATACAGCTCCCCCGTGCCTCCGTCCTACAACTTGAGCGCAATCAGTTCGCCCATTCATTTCTTCTACGGACTTGGTGATTTGACCGTGAGTGCTGAAGTAAGTGTGTCACCATTGACATTATTTTTCGTCACAAAATGATGGAGACCTATATTTGGTAATTGAGCAAAGTAAGCTCGCCGTGGCTGAAATGGGTAGACATGGACAAAAGTCGATAAATAAGAAGAAAACTTAAGCGCATGCGCAGTTCGCAATGTTTGAATTTTCTCAGAATCGTCATTATATCATAGTCCCATACATCGCGAATGGAATTCTAGGAATTAAAATCCTGTGAGTTCCATTTTAAATTATCAAAATGGGAACACTATGCAATGCAATTAGCATTTGACTTTTTTTTCACGTGAGTGACATTTTGAAGCGATTCACGACGATACAGCCTAAACCGCTGCAGAGAATACTATATTTGACAACTCCACGCGCCGCAGCAGCACGTCGTTCTTGCTTCGTTTGCACGTCATGCTGACTGAAGGCTTTTTTCCGCAAGGATGCCGCGGCCCTCTCGAGTGAAATTCCATCTGTCGTATCCGTGCACAAAGTTCCACGATTCAATCATTTGGACTTTGTTCTGGCCAAAAATGTGGACGAGGCTGTTAACAAGAAGGTCATAGACCACTTTCTAAGTTACGTGTGATACTCAATACCGGTTCTACACTGCGAACGAAAAAGGTAAATCCTACTGTTGTTAATTTGCCAGTGCCCGTTTATCCTCTCAGTCGTCCTCATTTTACAGGCTTTTCTGTAGAAACAAGAACAACATTAGCTGTTCAGTCAACAGGCAGTTCTGTCTCTTTCTTTGGTTCGTCCCATCCATGTGCAGGTGAAGGAAGGCTTCCAAAACTGTCCGAATCGATTCTCCTTTGCACGAATGGATTTATCTCAACACAAAAAATGGATGCTGTGTTAAAAACAGAAATTTATCGAAACTCTGCATGAATTAGTACATTTGCCATGATGTATCCAAATAAATATTCTTTCCAAGGTTAGCTGTGTGACGTTAATAAATTAATCATGACATTCCGGGTCAACCACTTAGTAACGTTCAGTCCGTGCAGCCGAGGGGGTTCATGCTCCAAGAAATCGTGTACAGAGTACTCGGTATTACGCGGTATACTACTGGGCATTACTCGTGTGTTACAGCATTAAAAAGCCAAAATTTGGCACATTTGGCCCAAAAATGGTACCACAATTATTGTACAATAATTGCAGTACCATTTTTGGGCCAGATGTGCCAAATTTTGGTTTTTTAATGCCGTAACACACGTGTAATGCCCAATAATACCGCGTAATACCGAGTACTCTGTACACGATTTCTTGGAGTGTGTACCCCCTCGGCTGCTCAGGGTTGCCAGATTGAGCTACATGTCGCGATTTGGGCTCCTCGGCCCAAAGAGGTCGTACACGCATGTATCACCGGATAAAAGGTCGTACACAAATGTATCACCGAAATAAGGGTGATACTTCCCAGGAAAACAAGGGCCAATCTCGCTGTTGTCTCACCTCTTTTTCGGTGATACATTAGTGTACGACCTTTTTTTCGACGATACATGCGTGTACGACCTTTTTTTCGACGAAACATGCGTGTACGACCCTTTTTTCCGTGATACATTTTGTATCGCCGTAAATTGGTGAGAAGTCTCACCGTTTGAATTACAGAGAAATATTGAAAGGTTAAGTGGGCACGCCCGAGCGCCTGGTAGCTCGGCAACTCATTTGACATTGGTGTTCGTTTGGTGGCCGCGACGAATCGCGGTTCATCATATGGCTACTTTGAGCCCCCTCTAAAAACGCCATTTTTCAATTTCCGGTTTGACCTTGAAAACCGAAATTCGGTGACAGCATTCCTGAGATGTCTGGCTATGGTCGGTACCTCAATCAGATTGAGTGGTAGAATGGTTGGATGGTAGAAGCGTGCTTTCTGTCTCCACGGAGCCTGGAAGCCTGTGGGGAAAAATATTTTTCCGGGGTAGCTGAAATGTACGCTAACCAAAATTGGCATGGAAAATAATCAGTCCATGCAGGGAGGTTTCATGAAGTGTGGCATTCATATTTGAAATAGAAACAAAGTGTCAGACAGAATACCAAAGAACGTAAATGATCCCACTACCGGTACTGCAGAAGAAAATGTTGCCTCCAGTATTCTTTCTCCTTCTTCTTCTTCTTCTTCTTCTTCTTCTTCTTCTTCTTCTATTAAATCGCCTGATTCATCAGTAACCTCAAGTCTTCTTAATTTTCTCTCTGAGAGCTGATACAGTTCAGAAAACAACACTCCACAAACTCCTGGAAAGAAAAAGGTGAAATGTATTTAAAAAATTTAATTTTTTGACCATAGTTTAAGCTTTGACTGAGACCAGTGATTCACCTTGTATTCACTTCTGGTCTTTTGAGAAGAAGTATTTGCTGACAATTAAAGTTTATTAACAAATTCCAAGTTTTTGTCTGACTGGTAGTTCTAAGATTCTGACTGATAAACTTGTTTAGAAGTTGCCCTCCCTGTACCTAGTCTGTTAGGTATTATTTATATTTCTTAAAATACTACAAATGTCTTTTTAAGCTTTTGTTTCTGAAATATACTCAAGTTCGTTTGAAATTGCAACTTTTTTCTATGTCTTCTCACAAAAAAACACCCGTTCTCATCAGTTTGGGGAAAATTAAGACCAGGATACATAAAATAGGGGGCAGAAAAGTGTGGGCTGATCCAGAGACATGCTCTAACTTTTTGCTGGGTCATTGATTGGGTTGGTAGAAAAGGCCATAAACTAGTAAGTGGGCCAATGTAGCCCCAAAGCACGGGGTAACTTTGCCCACCCTATTTAAACAGCGGCGCCTGGCAGAACCGTGCAGACGTCCTCAAACACGTCCAAGAATGCCACCAGCGCAAGCTGTCGAAGGAAGACGACGCTACCGGCAAGGCGGAAGTGGTTGCGCAGCGCAGGTTTGAGAATCTCCACCGTGCTGGTGCACGCACTGCAGCGCCGCGCCGCCTCCAGCGACACTTTGACTGGCCATTGTGGCAAAAAGGTACGGAAAATTCTGTTAATTTTTTTGCCAGGATTCTCCGTAGCCCTCTTATCAATATTCTCCGTAGGCTCTTACAGTATTCTCCGTAGGACCGTACAGTATTCTCTGTAAGTCCGCACAGTCTTCTCCGTAGGACCTGGAAGACTGTATAGTCCTACGGAGATCACTGTAAGGTCCTACGGAGAATACTGTGCTGTCCTACGGAAAATACTGTAAGAGCCTACGGAGAATATTGATAAGGGGGCTACGGAGAATTACCACAAGCTGTTTACAGAATTTTCCGTAGCTTTTTGCCACAGTGGCTGAAGGACATCATCCCTTCAAAACTGCGCAACCGACTGGACGAAAGCGTGGCGGCAGCATCATCGGAGCTCAACGGGGTGCTCGGTGATGAGACCTATCTCCAGCGGGACATGTCATCACAGAAAATGCTTGTTTCGTGGAAAAGCGTGAGCAGAGCAGATGATAAGACACCTTTCTTATTTTCCGTTAAAACATTTCAACTTTGTAAATTCTTAACATAAGGAGGCATTTTTATTAAGAAGTCCGATCGTGGAACACGACCGATGCCGATTTCCTCCATTTTTTGGTCAAAGGTAGTCCTTGTGGGTCTAAGAAAGGCCACAAATTTTTTGGGCCGAAATATGCACCGTTCAGATTCTATGGGCAATTTTCGTTTTCTCTGACAACTTTTCACATAATATGGCCAAAATTGAAAAATCGCCTTTCTGAGGCCTCTATGCACTCGATTGAGCTCAAAATGTGGTACCTCATGTCAAATCACGCGAGGAACACGAATCCGGTGCCCGTTTGTTGATAGGACAACCCAAACAGATGTTATGACTGTTTTTCAGGTTTTTTAGTGGTTTTTACTTTTCTTGGGGTTTTGGTGTTTGGCATCGATTTTCACCAATCCGATGAGTGGATTTTATAGATAAAGGACCAATCTATCATATTACGAGATAAAAAGTTTGTGTACGCCGCGTGAAAAGCAGTGGCGCTGCAAAAATTGAAAAACCGTCATTTCTGGGTAGTTTTAGATCAGATAAGCCACCTTTCGCGTGACCGTCTCCGCCCCATAGTCAGTCTAAATATTGTCCCAAGTGATGTCAGAGTTGGTGTGAAATTTCACCGCTGTAGCTCAAGTATTTTGGAAATGGCAGCTTTCTAAAGTTTTGCAATCACGTAAGGCATTTACTTAAGTAGAATTGCGGTAAATGTGAAGACTTGTCACAGATCGGGTAATAAATGAGATAGATGAGTGCGTCAAAGTTCTCTAAGCGTAATTTTGGACAAGGAATCCGATTTTGCCGGTACGAAGACCCTAGGTGTACTCTAAAACTACGTTTTCGTGCAAACCACATAAAAATGGCCTTTTTTCCGACTTCAGAGTTCGCCTAGGGTCTCCGTACCAGCAAAATCGGATTCGCTTAGAGAACTTAAACGCACTCATCTATCTCATTTATTACCCGATCTGTGACAAGTCTTCACATTTACCGCAATGCTACTTAAAGTAAATGCCTTACGTGATTGCAAAACTTTAGAAAGCTGCCATTTCCAAAATACTTGAGCTACAGCGGTGAAATTTCACACCAACTCTGACATCACTTGGGACAATATTTATACACTGCAAACGCAACGGCGATACTAAAGTACATTTTTTTGGCGATACAAATGAGTATCGCCAATAAACGGCCGTTCGGAAAAGTAATGCCTTCAGATCGGCGATACTAGAAAGTATCGCCGAAATTTGGCAATACTTTTGGATAATGCCAAAACCACGGCATTAAACCAAGGTCTTGTCCCCTTGATTTGTTCGACGTTTCTTGCCAAATCGTGGCAGTACTCCCAAGTATCGCCAAATTTTGGCGATACTTTTGTGTATCGCCGTTTTGAAGGCAATACTTTTCCGTAAGGCCGTTTATTGGCGATACTCAATTGTATCGCCAAAAAAGGTACTAAAAGTATTGCCTTTGGATTGACAGTGTACAATCATTGTACACAATATTTTACAGTGGGTCGCCCCTCGAGGAGAGGTCATTGCTTCGTTCCGAGGCTCACTGTCCTGGTACCGCCGCGGTAGCGTGAGGTACGATCCTGCTGCGGGGACTGACCCGTCCCTTGCCACGCTATGTGCAACTGACCTCTTCGTGCACTCTGCCGAGCGATTCAGAAGAGCAGTTTGTCGCTCTGACTCTCTCGTAACTGTTTGGAGAGCCCCGTGAGTGCGACAGAGTAAGGGCATCGAAACGGCTCTTCTGATCGGCTTGGCTGGGTTTTGATAACCATCCAATTAACGACCTCACGGATTACATACACAAAAGCTTCATAACAGGGCGTACACTGGAACTCTGCAACACTGACGCAAAGCGGTTGGACGACCCAGAGTGTTCAGTCTGACGATAGGATGCCTGAATCGCACGCCTTCAGGAATGGTCAACTTTTTCTTTTGGCAACTACGATGGTGGCGGTGCACGGTGGATTTATCAACTCCTATGCGGTACGTCAAGGATTCATGAGGAGAAAAAAGATAAGTTCTCTCATCCTTTCTCGTGGACACAGTCCGTGGTTCGCTGTAATAAGTTTGTACTCCGTACGACTTCTGTATGATGAGGCCTTCTTTCGTAACACAAGAAAACTCGGTGCAGTTTTGTAACTGTCATATTACAAAACTTGTTTTGTAGCTGAAAACGTTTCCTTACTATACTTATTAATATTTTCTGGTGGTTTTTCTCACGTCTTCGTAGTTTTGTAAAATGTTTTGCATGGAGAAAAGTTTTGTAATACAAATCAGAAGACAGCCTTCTACTAACTAAAGAATAGTTTCTTAAATAAGTTACAACTGCATCTTGTTTTCCTTCAATACAAAAGACTTGTCCAATGCTCAGTGACATAAATGAAAAGGATTTCCCCGGTACATACTTATGACTGCACGTTTCACACCTACATAAATCCT